TACCCGCATCTGCCGCAGTTTGAACATCTTGGAGCCCCTATTAGTGAGCAGTGACAGCTCTTCCAACATCACATCCCTTGGGACACTGATCTTCTTGCCCAAGTTCAGGCCTGAGCTCTCCCGTCCACCTTCCAGGGAGGTGAGGAGGAAGAAACAAGAAGAGTAAAGTAGGATTTTCTAGGCTCACAATACAGATGCCATCCACAACTACGTGTGTGACTCCTGCAGGATCACAGACTGTCTGTGATATCTGATCAATTGTACCTTGTTTGTGAGAAATTTTTATTTCCTGGGTTTGGAGTTGAAAATGCGTGGGAACTGGGGTGCAGAGCGGAAGCAGTGGGGATACTAGAATGGAGAGGGTGAATGAGGTAGAAGGGGCAGAGGCATGGAGTGTGGGGCAAAAGGACTGAGGGAACATCATAGATGGAACCATCGGGGGAAACTATAGTGCGGGAGCAAGCCCAATGGCCAACACTGTGTGGAGCTGACCACATCTAAATACATATTTGTCTTAACTCCTTTCCTTTCTCTTCCCCTCAAAGAACTCTGGCTGTAGACAGCCTCTGGGTGTTGGGAGAGCTCTTCACGTGCTTGTACTTCTACCACCCCACCCCCCACCCCGCCCCGATGAAAACAAATGCCTGAGTATTTTTCCATCTTAAGTGCTCACACAGGCTCCCTAGCTCTGGGGTAAAAAGTAAGGAAGTTAACCATTTATTGAGACTTCGCTGTGTACCAGTCGCCATCATATATATTCTCTTCCTCAAACATACCTCACTGACCTGTGAGTCTTGTTGTCCTGGACCTGGACTGGGTGATATGTCAAGGATACTGTTGTCTCGGATTACAAGGTGAAAAGGGTGGAAGGGTGAGTGGTCAAGTGTTGAATCCTTTCTCTTTCTCCCTGCCCCCACCCCTAGAATTTCTCTGGTCTCTTCACATCTCTTCACCTTAAGACATATGTAATTTTATGATTTTTCTGGGACTCTTGGGCCTAAGATACTCTTTTTTTTTTCTTCTTTTTTCTTTTTTCTAAAATGCTCTTAACAAGAGCACTAGATAGGTGCAAACATGCCATACCTCCAGTGAGTTCCATGATTAGCTTGCTGGATTTCCTCTTCTTGTTGGGGGCTGGGGTTCCTGAGAGCGGCATTGTGGAGGCAGATTCAGCCTGGATAGGGTGGGAAGGGGAATATCTACAATAAGGCAATACTTCTTAACCTGGGGTTAAGGGTTTCAGGTTAAGGCCTATTCCCCAAAAGTAAAAACCCATTGCTTTAGGGCTTCTCCTTTCTTGGAAGCAGGGCAGAAAGTACAGATGCACCCTCTGCTCCTACCTTCTACCAACCTCTTTCCTGCTGTTTAAATAGAGCTCATACAAGGATTAGGAACATAGTATGTGTTGGGAGCAATGGGTAAAACAAACAACACACACACACAGGGCACTGCACCCAGGTTTCATTGGCTTGGCATGACTTTAAGTTTTTATTTTCGTGGGGCTCTCAGATCAGGGGTGTCATTCCAAACTCTGGTCTTTCTTCAGTCTTCCTCAAACCCCCTCCCGGGGGTGGGGAATGTTCTGCCAGAGTTGAGGAGATTCAGCCAAAAACATTCAGGAAGGAGAGGTCATTGCTCCCCTATTGGGCGAGTTGGAGTGTGGCCTGGGAGGTCCCAGCAGTGTTCCTTGCTCCCTTTCAGTCACTCCTGCCCCAGACCCCAGAACTAGAGTGGAGAGGAGGGCCAGGGGCATTTGAACCCTGGTGCGTGTCAATTCAGCAATATATAGCAGTGCGGAATTGACGCGGGACAGGAATGTAATAATAGAATCTGGCAGTGGAGGGGGACAAGCTGGGAAAAGCTGCAGACTCCAGCTCCTCCTTGACAGAAGTTGGCACTCAGCAAAACACTGTCTTCTACTGAGCCCCGTTTCATAACACGTCTGCAGTTCCACTAACTTAATGGGGCATGCTGAGGCCAGACTCCAGGAACTGCTAAATGGGCATTCCACTACACCTCTCTCAGCTCTAACTAGATTACTTTCCCCCCATCCAGCCTCTCAGACCCCCTTCTTATGATCCCAGTGCTTCCTCCAACATGTCCATTCCCCCCACCCTCCTGGGCCCCTCTCCTTTCAACTCTGTGGCTCCCCCAAACTAGACAGCTGGGGACAAAGCATAGACAGGGGAGGGAGACAACTCTCCCAGGATCGAGGGTCACAACTGCAGACACAGATACAGCAGTCAACAGAGTGGGCTCCAGACCCTCTGGCCATAGAGCTGGAAACTTACCGGCTGCTCAGGCGGTGGTCAGCACTCCCTGGGGTCCAGCAGCTTTGGAGGACTGAGCTGCTGTGACCGGAGAACTCGAGCTGGGCAGGCGTGGGGGCAGCACTGGCAGTGGGGGAGGGAGGGCAGTTATTAATAGAGATGATGAGTACAGGCAGCTCAAATGGCACTGAGGGTACTGAGACCCTGGAACCAAGATCCCACTCTCCTTGCCCAGAGGCTCAGGAAGGAGACGAATGGCCTTTGGGATTCTCCCACTAAGCTATCTGAGCCAGGGATCAGTGTGCCCAGGGATTCCCCTTTCTTGGCATCTAGAGTCTGAGATCCACAGAAGCCATTCAGGGAGAAATTGAAAACTGAAAGGGAAAGAGGAAGCAAGCAGAAAGTGATGGATAGGAATTCAGAGTGGGAAAGCAAGAACTTGGAGAACACGTCTGGAGAGCCACTCAAAACCAATCCAGGCTGGAGCTGGAGGGACATGTGAGTGCATCTTGGGGGTGAGAGGCCTTAAGGTGCTATGTTTGGGGAAAGGAAGTCTGTTCATAATGGGGCTGCTCATTGAAAATTCCTTGATGTGTTGGTTTTTCCTCTGGGAAAGCCAGATCTTGGCAGAATAAGGGACCAAGTTCACCAAATCTAGTGCTTCCTATGTTGTCAGAGATGATGTGGGGAAGACTTGACCAATTTTTACCTTTTCATTCCCATTTGCTATTGGGGTGCTCAGTTCGGTTTGTTTTGCGGGATAGATTTTGAAGTCTAAGAACTACATACATGCCAGGTCCTTACTTTCTGGGGTTCCCACTTGGGATTTTCTTCAAAGGGAGGACATATCCCATAGGATCTAGATTGTCCCATTCAAACTCTTTCAGAAGATCCCTTGTGCAAGGGCACAAGTTTGAGAGCCTCCTTGAGGGAAGCCTGTTATTTACCCAGGCCTTTCTTCACTAGCTGCATGAACATCCTGGATCCTCTTCCACCCTCTCAGATTCTGGAACCAGCTGCTGCTACACCTCTGTTACAATAACCATCCTGTGGTGGCTACTTTAAGAAGTGACTTTGCAGCTGCCAGAATGCCCCTCTGTGAGCTCTCCACTCTTCCTGACCTTGCCCTATTCCCTTCCTGAAATTTTCAGGGTCAGGCCAGGGTCTGAAAAGTCATCCCACCTCCTTCTAGTGACCTCTGCCCAGACCAGTTTAGCCTCCAAATCCCTCACCTTTTGTCCTCCTTCTCCATTCCCTCCCAACCCAAAGAAGCAATTAGAAGAAAAAATACAAATGGTAAATGGTGATTTTGTCATCACCATCACACTACTCTCAAAAACAAAAACAAACTGAAGTTTTGGTCTCCTATGATTGAGGACCTAAATGAAGAAAATATTCAACTATGCTCAATGGGCCCTTCCTCTGGAATTCTGAGCCTGTATGCGGAAGCATCAGGGTCCTGGGCCTGGTTATTTGCACAAATATGCCCCCTACTGGAGTAATAGCACTTTCTTTCTCAGAAGTCCTTAATTCAAAAAAAAAAAAAAAAAGAAAGAAAAAAAAAGAAGTCCTTAATTCTATCTAGTCTGCCTCCAATGCCTTCTCATCTACTTTTTTTTTGGGGGGGGGGGGTGTTACTGTTTATTTACTACAAACGTTCCCCATCCGTGGTCTTCTCCCGTCAGAAGTTCTTTGAAAATAAATAAATAAATAAATAAATAAATAAATAAATAAATAAATAAAATAAAATAAAATAAAAAGAAGTTCTTTGAAACGATGCCGTCGGCCTTGGCCAGCCGGAGGATGGAGTCATCAGACTCGCCCATCCTGCGAATGGCTCCGCAGATAGCGTGGTCTTAAACTGCCCGTTGAACCTGCCGGTCACCTTGTCAACCTCGGCCACGTTCATCTGGATGGACTCGTGGTCCTTGGCGCCGATGATGCGGTTGCGGGCGGAGCATTTCTGCGGCACGTACAGGTCCACGAACTCGCCAGCGTCGTTCTGCATGTCGAGGGCGCACTTGCCGCCGCCACCACGAGCTCGAGCGCAGAAAGGCTCTACTTTTCTTTTTAAAGACTTTATTTATTTATTCATGAAAGACGAGAGAGAGAGAGAGAGAGAGAGAGAGAGAGAGAGAGAGAGGCGGAGACATAGGCAGAGGGAGAAGCAGGCCACCCCGTGGGGAGCCCAATGCGGGACTCAATTCCAGGATCCTGGGATCACAACCTGAGCCAAAAGCAGACGCTCAACCACTGAGCCACCCAGGTGCCCTCTTCTCTTCCATATTAAACTCTATTCACACTGATCCACTCTCTTCCTTCCCTCTACCATCCCACTTTCACCTTCAGGCATTGCTTTCCTATGGAAATATCATTGCTTCCTCCAGAAAGCTAGGAAATGATGATTATAAAAGTTCAGAGGCCCTTCCCACTCTCCTTGGTTCTGAAATTGAGGCCTTGCCTGGGAAGTATGGAGCAGGAGATGGAGAAGGGGAGAATCTGAATGGAGAACACAGGGAGAGAGAACCAAAGGGAACAGTGGAGGTGGCTAAATCAGAGTGGGACAGAACTGGTAAAGAAGAGCAAAAGGCCAGGCGGTAAAGGGCAAAGGGTGAAAAATAGGGCAGGAATGGAGAAAGAGTTCAGGAATCAGGAGATCGGGGAAATGGGTTAAAGAAGATGGAGGAGAGTCAGGATTTAGGCACACAACTAGAAGAGATGACAGAAACAGAAGGTTTGGAGCATAAGTTTATTCTTGTGCACAAATCAAAGTCTGTGACTCACACCCAATATGCAAAGGAAACAATCAATCCAGATCAAGCAGCAAATGTGGCTGATTGGTGGTGGTCATGGTGAGAGGGGAGTCCATACCCAACTAGGATCAGAGATCAGGGCCTGAAGCTTGGAAGGAACAAGAGCTAGGGTTTGAGTGATGGGGCTAGGACTGAAAAGAGGTTTGGGCTCTGGGTATCTCCTTGCCCTTTCCCAGGTCATCATAACAAGTTGCAGAAGGTAGAAGGACAGACTTAAAGGAGGTAGCAGACACTACCTATTCTTTCAACATTCAACCCACATTCTCACATCCCCCCATCATCATCCATCCTCACTCCAACAAATGCATTCTTTTTTCTCATTTTTTCTTCTAGACCCCCTGTTGTACATGCTGAGTTTCTTGAAACCCAACTGTACTGTCTGCCAACACAACACTCTCCCTCCTCATGCTCCTCCCTGTGGCGCAATTTCATTCACTCCACTCTGCTCCTGGTTTCTACTTCACTTTCCACACCATGCCTCTTTTCTCCCTCCTTTCTGTCTTGGGTACATGAGGCAATGAAGCCAATGATTTTTTCATTCTCAGGGGAAATTTTTTTGTCTGCCTTTTTCACTTCCTGGATGTTTGTAGCTCAGCATGGGCCTCTTAAGTTGCTAACTTTCTGGAATCCTGATAAGTAGAACTTTTTGTTTGTTTGTTTGTTTGTTTGTTTGTTTATTTAATCTCTATTCTCAGTATGGGGCTCAAACTCAGGACCCTGAGATCAAGAGTCACATGCTCCTCCAACTGAGCCAGCCAGGCACCCTCTGATAAATAGAATTCTTAGTTCTATTCCTGTTCTAGCTGGTGTATCTCAGTCCTTACAAACTGCGCCAGCCCTCAGGCCTTCTCATAAACTGTTTCACAAGGTGCTGTACCCCTGCTACAGGCATTGGTCTTTAATTCAAGTCAATGTCTTTCTCCTCACTAGACTATCCATGAGGGGCTAGCTATCTGACCCTTCTTTTATCAGCACAAGGGTTAGACCCAGATTGGGTCTTTATTTAGACCACTCCTCTTACTCTTGCTTCAGACATAAGAACACATCTGTGCCCACACACACTTGCACATACACACATACACACATACATTTCTAGATCTATGCCAGCCAAGGTTGGGAAACGAGAGTGAGGAGTAGCAAGCTATTTAGTGCAAACAGAGATCAATTCAGTCCCTTTGAGGCCTGCCTGATGGTGAGCTTCTTGCCGAGGTCTCACTAGTAACTTCTCTGTGTGCTTCTCATGGAACGTTAAAATGAGGCTCACAAAGCACAGATGTAGAGAAATAGAGACCAGTGGAGGACTGTGGGTGGAGACTGAGATTTGGAGATCCACACAAGGAACTACAGAGACAAAGAGAAGCACAGATAAAGAAGCAGAGATAGTAGGTTGCAAAGCAGCAGGGAGGTTGGGAGCCAGGAGAATGGGAAACCAACTCCAAAACGATGTCTGGCAGGAGGGAAGTTAGCCTCCAGATGCCTGAGAGAGGGCATGGGTTGGGTAGGAGAAACAACTTTAGGAACTGGATGTTCCACCTCTCCTTGGTCCTGGGAGCTGTGCCCTGCTCAGTGGTGGCCTGCCCCTGGCCTCCACACATGAGCCTGCAATCCAGTTCTGGTGGCTGAGAACCGGGGCCTGGCTACCTGGAAGCTACAAGAGCTGGGGGAAGTCCCAAGACCCCTGGGAGACTCTGAAGGAGGGGCTGGGCTAAGAACAGGGGTTGAGGCCAGCTCAGCTCTCCAGATGGGCTCATCCAATGTAGTGGCTGCTCGGGGGGTGAGCACAGTGGGGGCCAGGGGTTCTGCCGTGGGCTGGGGTGCTGGGGTGGAAAATCGGCGGATCTCCTGGACTCGGGCAGTTTTGGGGGGCCCTAAGGAGGTGGGGCCAGGAGTCTGGGGAACCTCATCAAAACAGAACATGGCACTCTTAAGTTGGTAGGGCTGGTGCCGCATGAAATCCAGAGCCTTGATACCCTGCTTGGGGGTTGCCCGAGGCCCCTGGGATTGGGCCTTATGAGGGAGAGTTCGAGCAGCTTGGGGGAAAAAGGGTGAGAGCAGTGGGTTGTAAGCAATAGGAGGTGGGGCACGGATGTTGGGTGAATATTTCCAGGAAGAGGGCAGTGAGGGTGTAGGGGAAGGACTTCTGGGCCGAGGGCCAGGGCCAAGGCCAGCACTAGGTGTAGCTTCCACCACATACCTGTCTGCTCGGCTCTGCCGCTTGGCAAACAGCTCCCCACCCCTGCCCTGCAGCCTGGCGGGCTCAGGGATTCCAGCCGAAGGGGTTGCCCCATTCACTAGCCCATCAAGGAACCCTCGAGGCGCGGGCTTAGGAGCCACCGGGGGTGGAGTCTTAGGAGCCATTGGGGGCGGGGTCTTGGGAGCCATCGGGGGCGGAGTTTTAGGCGTCACGTGAGACGGAGTCTTGTAACTCCTGCCCCCTGGTGGCTGCATGAAGTTGCAGGCTTCAGCCCCGAGGCTCAGCGCATCCTCCTCCGGACCGGATTCCGCGCCCCCAGCCCGGGGTTTTTCATCCAGGTTCTGCACCAGAGATAGCAGCTCGGGGTTGGGCGAGTTCTTCGTCTCCTCCTTTCCCGGGCGGAACATCTGCTTCCGAGTTCCCCGTCGCCTGGCTTCCTGGAGGATGCCAGTGCGGGCAGCTGGCACGGAGATGCGCTGCTCCCGAGCGCTGGGGGGCTCGGGTGCCCCGGGGCCTGGGGCGGGAGCCTCCGGGCGCGCAGCGGGTCGCAGAGGTGCCGACAGGAAGATAGAAGCGGTGGAGGTCATGGCAGCGGCGCTAGAGGGGGCGGGGGGCTCGGGGGCTCCTCCTGGCGTAACAGGACGATTGGGGGCTGGGATGTACAGGGAACTTGTGGCTGTGACGGGGCCCGAGGAGCGTGGAGTGCTGGGGGAACCGGAGGCTGGCACGTGGCTGGGCAGAGGGGTGGGCCCCGGTGGGAGGGGCTGGAAGGGCGGTGGGGCGGGGCTGAGGCCTCCCAGGCTTTCGTTCGCCCTCTTGGGAGCTAGAGGCCGGAAGATAACCGAAGTGGTACCTGGCCGCTGCCCTTGCAAGCCTGGGGTGAAGGGCCTGGCTGACCGGTTAAAGATGTTTGGAGCTGGGGTTGGGGCTCCACCGCCTGGAAGGAAGGGTCTGGGGCTGGCTACAGGGGCTGGTGAAGGGCTGGGTGGGAGCACAGTCGCCTCCGGAGGAGCACTCTGGGCCCGAGGTGGTGACTGCAGGCCCTGCCCATTGAGCATGGCGGCTGGACCATCCCGGGCCAGCTCCTGGGTGCTGGATGCGGTGCGCTGGCGCTGCTGCTCAAAGAGCTGGGCCCCTCTGCCGGAGGCCTCGCTCAGCTGCCCGCCCTGGCCCTCTGCTGCAGCTGAGCTTGGCCTGGCCAGCTCCATGTCCAGATACGGGCTGTCCCAGTCGCACTGGTTGGTGAGGCTGCGGGCGTCGGAGAAGGCCTCCTCGTCCAGTTCCGACTCGCTCGTTGGAGGGACCCCGTCTTCTTCTTCAGCGCCTGTCCCAGCAGCAGCCCCAAAGCTCACTAGGGTGTACTTCTTGGCTCGCTGCCGTCGTTTCTTAAACATAAGCACCCCCTTGGAATGGGGGTTGGGGGCTGCAGTTAGTAGGGATGCAATCGTCCGGCATTTGGTCTTGGCCTCCTTCACACTCTTCTCTTGGAGGCTTTCTGCCCGTTGCAGTTCTGAGGAGGCCAGGAGGGAGAATGGTCAGTGAACCTCTTCTAGTTCTGCTCCCTATGGCTTTCACCCCAGCCCCACCCCCAACCAGTTTCTGCAGTACTCCCACCTACTGTCTTTTCACTGGCCTGATCCACAGTGTCTCTTGCCTGTGGCAAAGTCCTCTGACTTGGGGGCAGAGTGGTAGGTGAAAGGTGAAGCCAAGGACAGTTGAAGGGAGGGCAGTCTAGTTGGCTCCCTGACGCTACTCTGATCACAGCTCTCCTAACCTCTCTCCCATCTACTCTGCTTCTATCTCTCCAAAAATGTGCTCTTACCCACCCCACACACATTCTTCCCTGCCTCCCACCATTCCTGGCTGGTAATGCTGGGGGCTAGGCTGGAGGGCAGTCACTTCCCACAGCAACCAGGGAAATGAGGCAGGCCCCAGGGAGAGACAAATTGAGACCACGTTAGAGGGCTTCTCAGAAACGTAGGGACTTATCACCTCATCCCACCCCTTACCCATGATAGGAACATAAAGGACCCTTGGGAACAAGAATGTTCATTCACATTTCCACCCCCATTATGTAGTCCACGTCATACACATTCATGGAAATAACACCTACCACACATTTCAACAAGAATATGGGTCTAGTGAAGGCCAATTATGGGCATATTTTCTCAGATTACTTTTCTCTCTCATTCATGTATGCCCCATTCTATATCCACCCTAGTTCACATTTACATATATAAATACACATGTACCCACACAAAAACACAGTCATTCAAATACATTCACACACGTGCATACTCCCTCTTCCCAGAGTTCTGCCTGCAGAGACCCTGTTACTAACAGTTTGAACAAAATTTTACAACTGATATTGGCCTTCCATCCACCAGGGCACTCCTCTGTGCCTCACACCCCTGCTACTCACAGCCAGGGATAGCCTCAGATCCAAGATGCAGGAAAAGTCAGAGTGCTGCTCTCCAAGGCAACCCTCCATATCTTTAGGATACTTCAAGGTCGCCAGCTAAATATATCCCATCACCACCACCCCCAGCTGGGGTGGGAGTGGGGGGGCTTCTTTGGGGGTCAGCCTTCTGGGTAGAGAGCTCTGGCAGCCACTAACAGGCAGACACACAAGGACTATGTACTAAGGGGAACCTGGGCAGGGCTTTCTATGCCATGTGGGGCCAGGGAGGTGGGGCCAGGAAATAGGAGAGGCTGCCCTGCTGCTAGGACCCTGCCTTGGACACAGATACTCTCTGATCCACGATCCCCAGTTCCTCCTGAAAAATTCTTGAAATTCCATCCACTTTCCACTCAAGATACCAAGCTCCTTTCTAATTAGGGCTTTCATTCCATGCATCCCAAAGTTTGTACCACAGAATAGTACTGCACATGAGAGATAGGCACTGGAGTCAGAGTTCAGTTCAGGTTTTTGGTTCTTGGTAGAGTTACTTCACTTCATTGAAGTTCAGTTTCCTCCTCTGTAAATGAGCATGATAATGACTATCTCATAGGATTGCTGTGATGATTAAATGAGATAGTGTAGATAAATTTAGCATTTCATGGCAGCCCTAAGGCCTGCAGTGACTATCCATTACTATTAAAGCTTTCTTGACATCAGCTACACATGTATACAGACACTTTCTTGTTCACACATATATTCTCCCATGGATTCCCATATACATGCCTTCATGTATTCACATATTACTCACACTTCTCTCACACACACTCCCTCCCCATGAGTTTTCTAGAGCTCATGTGGTCACAAACCCCTTTGACATGTGGCCATAGCATCAGCCCATTCTGAGAAAGGGGCAGTGGAACTCTCCTGAGAAAAGAAGGAAGAAGAAATCAAAAAGGAGGAACAAATAAGGGAATAAGACCTTTCCCAACGACATCCCTTCCTAAACTATTGATGTAGTCTTTCCATGCTAGATCCCAGAACTCTCTTGGCTATGGGAGGGTAGTACCTGCATAGAATGGGTCCTGGAGTCCAGGAGCTGGATCTGGGGCTTTGTTGCAGCTGGCTTGGCTGAGGGGCTCTTGGCTGATGGGCTCAAAGGTCTCCATGCCGAGAAATGAAGTGTTGGCAGGAGCAAGACCAGCTTGAGCCACCCCCCAAGCCTTTTAAAGCCCCTTTGTCTTGTCCCCAGAGCTGGCAGCTGAATGAGCTCATTGTGCTATTTTTGGAGCCTAGCCCCCTCCCTTCTCTCTGCTGCCCCACAAGCCCTGGTGTGATGGACGTGGACACCTGCCTACCCTTCCCCCCACTCCACCCCACTGGACAATGAGGTCTGCTTGGCTAAAAATATCCCTGAGCCACTAACTGCAGTCTTACCCAGCATGATAGGAAGGGAGGGGCGCTAAAATGAGGATTGGGGATAAGCATAGGATCCTGGGCATGCATCTGGAATTTCTTTGTGGAGTATTGGACATTCTTAGGGATGTCAGACTCTAAATTTTCAATTCCTGAGCCCATGTTCCAGACTTAGATGCATAAAATTTTATGGATCAGGAATCAGAATGGTAGAGGGGAGGAATGAGAGATGAGAACTAGAGGGGTAATCCTAGATTTTCAAGGTGACAAGAAAGGTCTCTGGGGTAGAGGCATGGGACAGGGAGAAAGTTCACAGTTAGAGCTTGTTCTGGTGCTCACATCAAAAATAGCAAAGAGCTTGAGATAAGTGGAACTGGCTTTTTCTGCCCAGGCCTACATTCTTGCGTGAGATAAGGAGTCAAAGATCCCTCCCTCTACCACTTCCTAGAGATCTCATGACTATCCCATAGGCTCCCAGTCCCCAGGAATCCTAAGTGAACTTAAAAATGTCAAAGGTAGCTCTGAGGGTATGCCTGCAATTAACCCTGAAAAGCCCCTGCCCTGCTTCCAAATTCTCCCCTGCATCATTTCTATACTCTGCCCTCACCCTGTCTGACACTTAGCAAAATCATAGCAACAACAACAAGCAAATCCTTTGTTGGTTTCATGTTCTTTTCCAACTTCCCTCCTCATTCTGTTCCTGGATTGGGTTGAACTACCTACAGCTTTTGCCACACTGGTTCAAGGACTAAAAATTATGGGTACTGTGAGAACCATTATTTTCCCCTTCTACTCATCATTCCTCTCCACTTGTCCCCAGGACTATCCAAAGGAAGCATAAAGTATGGTTATGGAGGGGTAGATTTAGGACTCCGATTGAAGGATCCTGGCTTGGGAAAAAAAGGGTTCAGGCACTCACTGGCTTGCTTGGCCTTCTGGGTGTAGGTGGTAGTGAGGTCTTCTGCCACCGGGTGGGGAACAGGTCCCACCATAGGGATGAGATTTGGGCCAGGCCGGAGGGGGCCGTGGGGCAACAGCAGGGCCTCAGCTGGGGGTGGCTGAAGAGTTGCCCCATCCTCCCATGATGGGGAGCTCACACGGCTGTCACCCTGACTGGGAGGACTAGTGACAGCAGGTGCTGGCTCTGCAGGGCTGTCAGATAGGTAGACTTCATCAGGTAGGGCTCCCGGAGGGGAGGGCCTTGTGGGGCCTCTTCGGCGGGGTCGGCGGGGCTTCTCCTGGGTGGCGGGGCCATCGGCATCACTGTCTGTCTCTCCGTAGTAAGCCTCACTGTCAGGGGGTGAGAGGAGGCTTCCAGGCTGAAGAGGCTGGGGAACTGGAGCGCCAGGGGGCTCAGGACTCAGTGGAGATAAGGGTGACAACACCTGAAGCTCACCAGGGGATGGAGATCGCACTGGCCCCTCATCCTCTACCCTGGATGGGAAAGAGGACAGAACTTGATAAATGGACTGGGTGACTGACAGCGAGGTCTAGAGGGGATGGGAGAAGGAAGGAAAGGAGAGAGGGTACTGGTATATGGGCTGGATGATTGGGCTGAGAAGAGTGGGGATCTGAAGACAAACCAGGAGGCAAATGTGCTTGAAGGGCTGTGAGTGGACATTGGCTTAGAGGGAGATGTGATGGTAAGGAGACTGGCAAAGGGCTTCAAGCCCACACACTCAAATGCCCACTTGACACCCCCAGCCCTTAATTGGAGATACACTGAAGTCCCCTGGGAGGCATAGACAAACATCTATACTCCAACACAAACGTACAAGAGTGTACTTAGTAGTAGCTAAAGCCAGGCCAGTGAGACAGAGAGCTGAGACAGGCATTGGGAGCCCTGGGCTAGGGGGATGAGGTGGGCTGGGGTGGGAGGGGTCCATACCGCCGCACTGTGAGGATAAGCTGATTCCCTGAGGCATCGATGAGGCTCATGGCACTGGCATGGGAGAGGCTGGTGCAGGAGACCCCATTGATGGCCAAAAGCTGGTCCCTCTCTCGGAGTCCTGCTCTGCCAGCCTGGCTCCGTCTTCGGATCTGAGAAGGTGTTGGGAGGAGAGATTGTAGGTGAGGGAGAGCTCTAAGTGGGAATAGAATGAAAGGAGTCATGGGAAGGTCCTATGCATGAAGGGGATATACTTTACAGGGTAAAAAAAGGTGGGGAGGAACACAGAACTACAGTGATGGGGCTATGTAGAGGGAAGAAGGTGCAGATTGTTGGGAGTAATACATCATATGAGGGGAGGTAGGGCAATCGCCAAATCAAAGAGGCTTGGGAAAAACTGTAGAGGGGAGGTACTAGAAGTGACAGTTGCATCCCCAAAAGATTTCCCTTCAAAGGCAATATCTTTACTGGCCAATAGTTCTCTTTTAGGCCATTGTCTACACAGTCAAGATTTTAGAACAGTATTCCAGATTGGAGGGAGTCCAGCAGAATCTGGGAGATTGTCATTGTGTGTGTATGTGTGCCATGCGTGCACACACACATACATATGTTAAAGTAATGATAATAGGTGTAAAGGCTATCATTTATTGAGTGCTTACTAAATATTAGGTATGGTGCCAAGCACTCTACATGTATTATTGTATTTAATTCTTAGAATGGTTCTATGAAGTAGGTACTGTTATCACCCACATTTTATAATTGGGGAAACTAAGCCTGTATGAAACCAAACACAACAGCTTCATCTGACAGGCCAGACCTTTCCATAACGCTCCCAGCACCTAAAAAGTCTTGCCTTAGGAGAGCAAGTGTCTGATGAAGGGAAAGAGGAACACTGGAGGCCTGGACAGGGTAGGGTAGGGCAGGGCAGGGCAGGGCTGGGCTGGGTAAGACAGCCTCAGCTCATCACATACCAATTTAGTTCAAGAAAAATTAGAACCTTCCCTATATTCCTGGAATTTGGAGTAGAGGCACAGCCTCAGGAGAGCAAAGACTGGATGGCCAGAACTGGGCCTCTGCTACTATGGTGCCGCAGGGAACTGAGGCAGTCTTTCTTTTTTTCTGCTCCCAGAAACCAGGAATTCTTTTCTAAAAGCCCTCTGCAAGACGCTTGTGCTCAGAAACTACTCCTCCCACCAGATGAGCATGCTTCCCTGCCCACCTGCCCACCCACCCACCCACACTCTTCTTCACAGCCTCCCACCTCTCCCCCAGAGGCCACAACATGGCTCTTCCCAGATTCCCCTGGGTTTCCCTTTCCCTGAAACCTCAATAATAGGGGTTCTCCCTTACCTTGGACACCTGTAAAGGTTTCCTCTGCTCGGCCCCCCCCTGAAGTCGGAAGCCCCAGGGGGCTCCCCCTGACAATGTGACCAGCACCTTCTCCTCAGCACCCATTGCACAGCTTGGCCTATGGCCCTCGGAGTTTGGATAGTGTCCCAGGGAGAGAAGTCGAGGCGCTGGTACCCCGTCCGGCCTGTCTGTATGGCTGTCCTGCTCCAGCTGCCCCAGGCCTTCCCCCCCACACCACACACCACAGGCAGGCAACTTGGCCCTGGGATCACTACAGTCCAGCACACATGTCCTGTCAATCGGGGCTGTGCTCAAAATAGTTGCCGGCTGTACTCCCTTCCCTCCCCCAGCTGTATTACTCCCAAAGCTAATTATAGTAAAAACCTCTGCCTTCCAATTTCCCCCATTCCCCTGCATAGGCCTTTTACTCAGGACTCCGAGTACCAGCTCTAACTAATATACATACTTTCAGGGACTGTGCCATCCCTGATAGGATCATGGACTAATCCTAACTGCTTTCCTACAAAGCTCATTTCAAAGTGGCTGCTGCAGGGACTTCAGTTCCATAGCAAGGAATGCCTGGACTGGTCCCACAAGTTCACAAGTTCCCGAGAAGTGTGCTCTCTCTCACGTGTGAATTTACCTGTTCATCAAATTGAGATCCATATTCCACTGCAGTGCTAAGTGCAATGTAACTTTTAAAGCTACTGGTTTCCAAAAATAAGACTGCATATAGGATTAGATGATTATATAATGAAATAATCTATTGATGTATATATTATATATATATATATATATATATATATATATATAATATATATATAATGATTCCCAGGCCTCAGCTTTAGAAATCCAGATTTTATTGGTCTGATACCTAGTATTGCTGTTTTATTTTATTTTATTTTTTATGTTTTCCCACTTTTGGTAACTGTTACAATTGTCCACTTTGTGATGCCCTGTTCAGTTAGCCCCTGAATTTTAGGGACTTTCCGAAAATTAGAAGTAACTCCCTTCCCTGGTCAAAGCCTAATTACACTTTTTAAATAAGCAATGAGACAAGAACGTTTAGACACCAAGAGTTTTACAGAACAAAACAATTCTTATGCCATACCTTTATTTTATGCAAACCAATATTATAAAACAGTAAGATGGTCTAATAATGGGTTCTGAATGCCCCATGTCACGCTACTTCTCTTCCCTTTTTTTTCTTTTTTCCTTTCCTTTCCTTTCCTTTCTTTCCTTCCCTCCTTCCCTTTCTTTCTTTTTTCTTTTCTTCCTTTGGTATGGCCAAACAGATCCAGACTCTGACTAAGGTCTGGGAGGCAGACACAGAGGCTTTGCCAGCCTTCCCACTCCTGGCTCATGCTTCTGGAGTATCTAGTTCTTTTTATAATCCCTCTTGGGGAGAAATGATTGGTAGTGTAACATTGAGTCATAACTCTAATACCTCATTCAGTTTGGCATCATGGACAGGCTCTCTCTATTATTTCATAGCAACATTAAACAAGTATACTTTGGGACGCATTTTAAAAAATATTTTATTTATTTATTCATGAGAGACACAGGGAGAGAGAGAGAGACAGAGAGAGAGAGAGAGAGAGAGAGAGAGAGGCAGAGACACAGGCAGAGGGAGAAGCAGGCTCCATGCAGGGAGCCTGATGTGGGACTTGATCCGGGGACTCTGGGATCACACCCTGAGCTAAAAGCAGATGCTCCACCACTGAGCCACCCAGGTGGGGGGGGACACAATTTTTTTTTAACAGAATCTTTGCAAGGATGCACGTTCCATTTTTGCGTTTTTCAATAATATTAAATATATCTTGCCCTGCCAAATCTTATTGGCATTAAAAAAATATTTTCTTGGGATGCCTGGGTGGCTCAGCCGTGGAGTGTCTGCCTTCAGCTCAGGGTGTGATCCTGGAGTCCTGGGATCAAGTCCTACATCAGGCTCCCTGCATGGAGCCTTCTTCTCCCTCTGCCTGTGTCTCTGTCTCTCTCTCTGAGTCTCTTATGAATAAACAAAATCTTAAAAAAATATTTTGTTTATTTATTTGAGTGAGAGAGAAAGAGAGAGGAAGAATGAGCAGGGCAGAGGGGCAGAGGGGCAGAGGGAGAGGGACAACCAGACTCCCTACAGAGCAGGAAGCCTGATGCTGCACTGGATCCCAGGACCATGGGATCATGACCTGAGCTGAAGGCAGATGCTTAACTGACTGAGCCACCCAGGTGCCCCCTTATTGGCACTTTTATTGGTATTGTGAACTTTATAGATCAATTTACATAGTTTTGATGTTAGGTTTTGCTACTCACTGGAATATTAGTTCCTAGATGGCAAGGATTTTCTCTCTTCTGTTTAGTTTTATATCTCCAAAGCCCAGAACAATGCCTGGCATATAGTAAGTGCTCAGTTTTTACTCAATGAAACAGTGCCATGCCTTTACATTTGTTTTGGTCTTATGTTCCTCAGAAGTGTTTTAAACTTTCTTTTTTAAATCTTGTACATTTTTCTTTCTTTTAAGATTTATTTATTTAGTGGTTTATTTGTTTATTTATTTATTTTAATTCCAGTATAGTTATAATACATTGTTATGTTAGTTTCAGATGTACAATATAGTGATTCAACAATTCTATACATTACTCAGTGCTCATCACTCCATCTATTTCACCTATCCCTCCACCCACGTCCCTTCTGGCAACCATCAGTTTATTGTTTATATTTAAAAACTGTTCTTTTTGTTTGACTCTTTTTTTCTTTGTTCATTTGTTTTGCTTCTTAAATGCCACATATGAGTGAAGTCATATGGTATTTGTCTTTTTCTGACTTATTTCACTTAGAATTATACCTTCTAGATCTATCCATGTTGTTGCACCTAGTATTGCCTTTTTAAAAAGTACCACAGGAGGGGTGCCTGGGGGGCTCAGTCAGTTAAGCATCTGGCTCTTCCTTTCAGCTCAGGTGATGATCTTCCTGGTGAGGAGATTGAGCCCCTGCTTCCCCTCTGCCCCTCCCTCTGCTCACACTCTGTCTCTTTCTCTCTCAAATAAATAAATAAATAAATAAATAAATAAATAAATAAATCTTTAAAAAAAAAAGTACCACAAATGATTCTAATGTGCAGTGCTGGGCCATGTAGAGGAATTCTAATCGGCCCTACCCCAGCTGAATTGTTGCTTCTTCCATAAAGCCTTTCCTGCCCTTCTCCCAACTTCCTCCTCCCATAGAATTAATCTTTCCATCCTCTGGGCAACATATGTATCTTGTTCATATTTTTATTGCATTTCTCAGCCAATATTATAGTTTGTTTATAGGCCTGTCTTCCTCCTAGACTGTGAGAATTTTTAAAGGACTATATGCAATAGCCCATCAACAGCCTGGAGAGTGATGCCTGATGTGACAGGTGCTCAATAAATGTTGGCTAAATTACATAACTTCTTACAGTGCACAGGTGGTCACGGAAAGATGGATACAGATAGGTGTGCATAAACATGCCAACCCATGTTGATAACAAAATCTCTACTTATTTTTAGGTTTAATTTTTTCCTTTTTCTTTTTTTCCCTTTCCTTTATTTTTTTAAAAAAGATTTTATTTATTCACGAGAGACACAGAGAGAGAGACAGAGACATAGGCAGAGGGAGAAGCAGGCTCCTCGCAGGGAGCCCCATGTGGAACTCGATCCCAGGACCCCAGGATCACGCCCTGAGCCAAAGGCAGATGCTCAACCACTGAGCCACCCAGATGTCCCTCAGGTTTTGATTATATGAATGTACTTTAAGAAATCTCTTTCTGTTATAAATCATAACATCATGATGCTGTAAGTATAGTTATCAAAAGCTACAGTTTCCTGGAATAGCTGCTCTACTAGTGTGCTAAATGCTGTGCCTTGGTGCATGATGTAGTCATAGAAAACACTTCGGGTTTAGTGTCTAAACTGGACTTGGAATCTTTTTCCACCATTTATTAGCTGTGTAACCTTGGGCAGTTAACCTGACTTCATCAGTAAAAATGTATCTAAATATACTTTTTTAAATTAAATTTTATTATTATAACGTGTGTGTGTGTGTGTGTGTGTGTGTGTGTCAGAGAGAGAGAGAGAGAGAGAGAGAGAGAGAGAGCGAGCGCACAAGCTGGGGGAGGAGCAGAGGAAGAATCTTAAGCAGGCTCCATTACCAGTGCAAAGCCTGATGTGGGGCTTGATCTTACAACCCTCAGATCATGATCCCAAATTCATGACCGGAGTGGAAATCAAGAGTCAGATGGTTAACCAACTGAGCCACCCAAGCACTCCTCCCCTCTAAATATCCTTTCACTCACTATTCAAATACTTATTAAGCCCTTGCTACATGTCAGCCATTGTGCAACACCAGTGACTTTCGATTAACTTTAAGTGCACATTAGAATCATCTGGCAAAAAAAAATTATGTATGTATGTATTTATTTTTAAAGATTTTATTTATTTATTCATGAGAGACACACACACACAGAGGCAGAGACACGGTAGAGGGAGAAGCAGGCTTCATGCAGGGAGCCTGATGCGGGACTCGATCCTGGGACTCCAGGATCACGCCCTGGGCCAAAGGCAGGTGCTAAACTGCTGAGCCACCCAGGGATCCCCCCCAGATTTTTTTTTAAGATCCTATGTTTAAGTAATCTCCATACCCAATGTGGGGCTCAAACTTACAATCCTGAGATCAAGAGTTGCTTGCATTACTGACTGAGCTAGTTGGGTGCCCCTCACCTGGAAAAAATTTAAAGCTAAAAAAATTTAAAGAAAAAAATTTAGCTTCCCTAAAATAAGACAGTGTATATAGGATTATATGATTGTGTAATGAGATAATCTACTAAAATTATATATATATACACACATATATATACATATAATATTATATGATACATATAATAATTCCTAGGTCTCAACCTTAGGGATTCTGATTTTATTGTTCAGGCACCTATTATTGCCATTTTAAAAAGCATCACAGATAATTCTGATGGGCAACCAGGATTGAGAAACAAGAGCAATGATACAGAAAACAGTATAATGAAACACATCAGACTCTATTCTCGAGAAACTATGAATTTAGGCTCTACCATGTACTAGGAGTGCAACCTTAAGCAAGACAGAAGACCCCTACTTTCTTGTGCTGATATGAAAGATAAGTGGGATAAATTACGCGGAAATGCTTAGCAAAGGGCACAGTCTAGGACAGGTGCTCAACAAAATTGAATTTGATAAATTACTAATCTAGACGAGTAGTTCTTAATCTTCAGTATGCTATGGAATTGTCTTGGGCCTGAAACCTTGGCTTACTGAGTTTCCCCTCTAAAATTTCTGATTCAGTATGTCTAAGGTGGGTCTGACATTTGTGTTCCTAACAGGTTCCCAGGTGATACTGATATTGTTGATCCCAGGATCACACTTGGAGAAACACTGACCTTGACTATAAATTCTTAAGGACAGGCGCAATCTGCCACTAAAGCATGTTCAGGGATCCCTGGGTGGCTCAGCGGTTTGGCGCCTGCCTTCAGCTCAGGGCCTGATCCTGGGGTCCTGAGATCGAGTCCCACATCGGGCTCCCTGCGTGGAGCCTGCTTCTCCCTCTGCCTGTGTCTCTGCCTGTCTCTCTCTGTGTGTCTCTCATGAATAAATAAAATATTAAAAAAAATAAATAAAGCATGCTCAATGCCTAATATAGCTTCCAGCACAGAGTAGAAGTGCAACTTTTTTTTTCAGTGAATGAATCACTCTGTGCCTCAGATATAACTGTTATTTACAATCACAAACGATCACAGGAGAGCAAGAATTTTTGCTTTGTTCACTACTGTATTCCCAGAACCCAGAATATGGCTTGCCACACAGCAGTGCTAAGAAAGAAAGAAAGAAAGAAAGAAAAAGAAGAAAGAAAGAAAGAAAGAAAGAAAGAAAGAAAGTTAAATGAATAACTCTTATTGAAAGGGTTAAATGAGGTCATGTGTTTTTAAAAATCCTACAGTATTAGCTACAATATTGCTATTCATTAAATGGGATAATAATTACTCCAAGAACTGTAGCTCTTCCAACAGGCGGGGGACATTCCGAGTGCAGGGATCATCACCCTCTGGCAGACCTCTGCATCTAAACTAAGCCACAGTATAAAAACGGTTAACTAATAATACCTGACATTTACTGAGTGATTGCTATGGGGGAGAGAGATCTATGTGATTGTCTAATTCCATCCTCTCAAAAAGCCATTATTAGAAGGGCATTCAGTATTCTCTCCCATTTTACAGATGAAAGAAACTAAGGCAGAGATAGTTGCTCCAGCTGGTGACCTGCGGAGCCAGAACTCGAACACACGAAGTCTGAAGGCTGAGTTAGTACCTTCTACTATAATACGTTCCGTGATCTCAGAACCAGCAAGAGTCCTAGGTGAAAGCATCTCCGTAGACGGAAATCAATGGGGTCAGGGGTCAGCAGGAAGTGGCTACGACTAAAGATCGGAGAGGTCACTAATGTGTCATAGGGGGATTGTGGAAGCGTTACTAAACATAGTTTGAAACAGCCTTCTCGATCTTATCTTAGCAGGACTATAAAGTGACCAGAACATCTGGGGGGAAAATAAAAGGCGGAAATGCATAAGATTCTGCGGAGAATCCCCGGGGTAGCCATGACGCGAGGGGAGCAGTGGCGCATGCGCGGCATCCGGGTTCTTGAGGCCGCGTCTCCTGCAGACGTGGCAGAAGGAGTGGTCGCTCCCAGGGCGTGGGGGAGGAACTTCCGGGGACGTCGCTCAGTCCCCCTCGGAACCGGAAGTTGGGCCTGGGAGCCTTGACGTTAGGAACGAAGTCGAACCTGGATCTGGAGCCGGGTGAGGAGTGGCAACGGGAGGTTGGTGGGTAGGAAAGCAGGGGAGAGGCCGGGGTACCACTGGCCAGATCGGGGTCTGGTCTGAGCAGGAAGGGAGGAGCCTGGGGGCGGGGCACGAGGAGAGACCCTCACCTCACGCATCCAGAATCCTGGATCAGTTCTAGATCTTCCCTTCTCTGCTCCCGGCCCAGATTCCGGCTCCCGCTTCCTGCCCGGAGCTTGTTGAAGGGCGCAAGCCGTTCGATCTCCATGCTCAATGGATCAGCCCTCTCGTCGTGGCCCGAGATGCTAGTTTGGCTTCTTGGTCTTGATTCCCAGCGCTCCCAGCCTCCACAAGCTCGACTACTTTCAGAGTTCTAGGAAGCTTGCCCCACCCCCTGGGTTGTCACTCTCGGCTGTCTACCCAGAATGGAGTCCAGACTTGAGCCTTTCGCCCAACTCTGGGGTGTGAGATTATTTCCTGGCGGAGAAGCTCCTTTCCTCCGGCCCCCGCCCTCACACTGACTTTCGGAAGATACAGGGGAAGAAGGGGTCACCTGTCAAGCTGAGTGTTGTGACCGGTGCAAAGCTTAGGATTTGGAAGAACAGTACCTGAGATGGCTTACGTTTAAAGAATTCCAGTCCAGGAGCAGCTCAGCGTTTCTGTAATCAAGATGACCCTCTCTAGCAAATGGGAGAGGCCCATTGTTCCACTCCAGCGGCTGTGAACTCTCCTGCTTCTTGTGCCGCATCTGTCTGTAGAGTAGTCGGAATAAGGCTGTTTAGATGTGAGTAGACAGTCTTGTTCTTGGAAGGACCCACGAAAGGCCCTCTAAGTCATTCCTCTGTTGCTGGACAAGATTGTAATAACTTCAGTGGTGGCCTAGATTCATGACAGGTATATAAGGAAAGCAGAAACGGAGTTGGAGAAGGGCATGGGATTTGAAATATTCCTAGTCCCTCTGCTTGAAGGATAGGTGATCTTTTTACATGAAATCTTTGTCATTGATCTTTGAACTGTTTTCATAGGTTATTGTGAGAAGTTTTTGTACCTGCCCTGCGCTTGGCTGGAGTCTGGTACCTTGCTAGAGTTTGTGGGTGTCCTTTACACTTAATGATTTTAGTGCTTCCATTCTCAAATCCATACATTCTTTTGGTGGGAAGACTGGGAATGGAGTAGCATTTGAATTATTGCAGTTCAGCCAAAGGATTGCATTTCTCTAATCAGTTACTCTGTTTTTGTCTTTTGAGAAGGAGGGAATTTATATGTGTTTATATGTGTAGCCTGAGTGATTAAAAGTGACTAGCATATTAGAGGGTATTCAGTGCTTGTTGAATGAATCCATGCTAGAGTGAATGAATGGAAAGTGGAACATTGTTTCATTTACTTATAATATCACAGTAGTTCATCAGTGGCAGGAGTCAGTGTGAGACTAGATGCTAGAACTCATACCACTTAGGAATGGAGGCTGTTGCTCCATCCATTGGACCTATCTGAAGTTGAAATTTATACCCTCTTGGCAGTGACAAAGCTTGGGGTTCACAGTAACAATTCTTTACTTTGAGGAAGTAATCTACTGGCTGGGCAGAAAATTACAAAGATTCTGTGGTAGTATGGGAGCAATTAGGCTGATAACTGCCTGGTAAGGTCAGTCTTTTTTTATGTCTTACTTCCTAGCCTATATAGCTGCTATCTCTTTAGAAATTGATTTTGACTGTTTTCTATTGACTATTGATTTTGACTATTTTCTATTGATTATTGATTTTGACTCTTTAGAAGTTGATTTTGACTATTTTCTCTCTTCTTTCTCATCTTTTAGGTGAGACCAAGTGGGGATGCACTCATAATGAACGTCAACCAGTCAGCTCCACCTGTGCCGCCATTTGGGCAGCCCCAGCCTGTCTACCAAGGGTATCATCAATCCAGCTATGGTGGGCAACCAGGGTCCACAGCCCCCACCACTCCCTATGGAGTTTACAATGGCCCAGTACCAGGCTATCAGCAAACACCCCCCCCAGGTATGTTTCCAAGTTTTCTTTGAGCTAAGGAGGGGAATCAGTAGTGTTCAGGTTGGGTGGCATTGCCCTACCTAAGCTACCTAGAGAGTTGAGGTAGTTGGGATTGAGGAACATGACTCTGGTTCTCAGTCACTGAGAATTCTGTGGGCAGTCTGCCTTTCCCTGTTTTTAATAGGTTCTGCCTTAAAACATCTAGTGGAAGCACATCTTCCAGTTTCAGTGGCAGTCCACTTCATGTGAGTGTCACTCTATACAGCCTCAACTGCCTGCTTTGTTCACAGCTGGATGGAAAGGTTGTGGTCACGACTCCTGCAGAGTCTGTGGCCAGGACTGCTGGTTCCCTTTAACCTAAAATCTCGCTGAATTCACGTGTTCCTCATATATATATTGATAATGCCTCATTGGATTGATGGTTTTATCTATAAATGACCCTGCGACATGGGGAACTAATTCATGGTTAAAAAGTGTAGTGGTACTTCTTATATCTTTCTGCTGATATCATTCTTTGCTTTCACTTGAGTACTTGAGTTTCCTCTGCTTCTTAGATGCTCTGTAATATCAGGGAAATAAGAGAAGACTAATCTGGTGCTGCCTTAGGATCAGTGTTTGACTTTTATGTTACTTTTTCAAGAAGAGCAGCTGGTACTCTACAGATTGTCCATATGGCTTTTTGGAAAATGGTTAACGGTAGATCTTTGGTTAGGCTAGCTGAAGACTTAGAGTATGCCCAACATTTTATGCTTTTTAAGATAGTAAATTCCATACAGGGATATGGGAAAAGAAGGCACCAAGAAGGCATAAGTAAGATTTGGGAAATGAATGAAGTGTTACCATTTTAAATATAATTTTGAGAAAAAAAATTGTTAAGTGGTGAGATTAGGTCTCATGTCTTTGGAAGAACCTTAGTCTGGGTTGAGACTTTGGCTGGACAGAGTCCACTTCTGATCTTTCAAGTCCTGGCTTATCAGGATGGAGTTTGGCATTGCCTCAAGAGGAAGCTTTGTTATTGAAAGGAAAACGAATCTGGTTCTCTGATAGCTAGTGATCAGGTTCAGATTAATTAGTCTGTAGGCAGGCTTTGAATTTTCTAATCTCTACTGAGGAACAGAGCAAAAGAGAACAATTGTTTGAATAGGGGTCAGCAACATTTCCAAAGTGATGTGCCAACTTACTAATTCCCTGCATTTCATGTGAGAAGGATGGTTGGGGATGGTATGCAGAAAGGTTGGGGGTAGTAGAAATAGCTTTGATGCACCTCTGATGAGCAGAAAGGACCGAGTACAGCTTTTGTGAAGACAAAGGTGGCAGCACTAATGGGAGGGCAAATCAACTGTCCTGACTGAACCACTGGGCAAAGTCTACAAACTATGAGAACACTTTCCCATGCCATGTGATATTGGGAGCATCAACACTTGGATGTGGGTGAAAAGATGGTTAGAATAAGTAGCATATATGAAAAAGAGGTTGACAGAATGATCTCCCCAAGAGGAACTTTTCTTTTTTTTTAAATTTTTATTTATTTATTTATTTATTTATGATAGTCACACAGAGAAAGAGAGAGAGGCAGAGACACAGGCAGAGAGAGAAGCAGGCTCCATGCACCGGGAGCCCGACGTGGGATTCGATCCCGGGTCTCCAGGATCGCGCCCTGGGCCAAAGGCAGGCGCCAAACCGCTGCGCCACCCAGGGATCCCCCAAGAGGAACTTTTCTTTGTAATCTGTTTCAGTATATTACTTGATTATCTTTTGCACCACCTTTCTCATATGCTTTAAGTGTCTGAGTTCTGGAGTAGGATCTTTTCCTTAAAAGAATTGACTTTTTGGGGTGCCTTGCTGGCCAAGTTGGTGGAGCATGTGACTCTTGATCTTGGGATTGTGAGTTTGAGCCCCATATTGGGCATAAAGATTACTTTAAAATAAAATCTCTGGGGATCCCTGGGTGGTTCAGCGGTTCAGTGCCTGCCTTTGGCCCAGGGCATGATCCTGGAGTCCCGGGATTGAGTCCCACATCAGGCTCCCTGCATGGAACTTGCTTCTCCCTCTGCCTGTGTTTCTACCTCTCTCTCTCTCTCTCTCTCTCTCTCTCTCTCATGAATAAATAAATAAAAATCTTAAAAAAAAATAAAGTAAAATTTCTCTCTCTTTTTTTTTTTAAAGAGTGGACTTTTTGTCTAGGGTAATAACATTAGACTGACCTGGATTAAGTGAGAGTCTATGGTGATCAGAGGAAGCCTCAATATTCTTGTAGCTCTGGTTACAGCTTCACCTGTACTATATCTATCTAGGAGAGTAGAGACTCTGATTGGTCTCCCATGTTGACAATCTTCTGTAACTAGAGTTGCATGTTCATGGTAAACTTTTTATTGCAAAGCTGTGGTATTATGCCAGTGAAGATCTGAGCTTATTTATCCTTGCTTTACATTCCTTGCTCAGGGTGGAGAAGAAAATTATTTCCCAATCATTTAGTTTCTGTCCTTTACCCTCAGGTGTGTCACGAGCCCCACCTTCTTCAGAGGCACCTCCAGCCTCAACAGCACAGGCCCCTTGTGGCCAGGCTGCATATGGCCAGTTTGGCCAAGGAGATGTACAGAATGGGCCAAGCTCCACTGTTCAGATGCAGAGGTATGTACTTGGGTCAGCCTAACATGGGTCTGATGAAATTAGAAGAATTAGGAATGGATGAGGGCCTATTTCCTCTACTGTTTTTCTTTGCCTTTCTCTTAGATCCTTTTCTCTTTTCCCTCCACTTTTTTGGTATTTTGTTTTAATTTTTCCAGGTTATAAGTTCTGCTGTTGTCCACTCTGTAGATCATTAACCCATCTTTGTACCTAAGTTCTTTTCTATATTCTTTCTCCTTCTGTGAACTTGAGTTTTTTTCTTGACTAGACATATAGCTTCCATAATTGTTGCAATCCTACTGAACCTGTCTTCAGGGAGAAACAAGAAAAAGGGATCTCAGAATTATTATTTTTAAGATTTTATTTATTTATTCATGAGAGAGACACACAGAGAGAGAGGCAGAGACACAGGCAGAGGGAGAAGCAGGCTCCACGCAGAGAGCCTGATGTGGGACTCGATCCAGGGTCTCCAGGATCACGCCCTGGGCTGCAGGCAGTGCTAAACCGCTGCGCCACCGGGGCTGCCCGGGATCTCAGAATTATTTATGTCTCTTCTGATTTCTACTTTTCCTCTAGATCAGGCAGTTAGTAGGACTTATTGGTTAAGTTTGGGTGTGACCAGTGATGAAAGGAAAGATACTCAAAGAAAAGCCATATAAATGATAAAAATTTTGGTGGCATATGATCCAATAAATAACTGTCTTTATATTGAAGTCCATTAAAGAAAGGCAGTCATCTCTGTTGGACTGTTGTTTGTTTCTTGGTAAACAAAGAATAAAGTATAACTGAGTAGTGTGTGTTGTGTGGTAATGGAAGAGTCACTTTTTGACATTTTTATTGAGTGTCCAGAAGATACATGTTTAGCATAGAAAGTTAGCCTATAGAAAGAGCCCGGGAAGTGCTCCCTAACCTTGTGTGTTGGAAAACACTGAGAAGCAGTATAGAGAATTCATTCATTCATCTACCCAAAACTATTTATTTTTTATTTTTATGTGTTGGATGTTGTTCTAGAGTTTGGAGATAGGGGATCCCTGGGTGGCTCAGCGGTTTAGCGCCTGCCTTTGGCCCGGGGCGCAATCCTGGGTTCCCGGGATCGAGTCCCACATCAGCCTCCCGGCATGGAGCCTGCTTCTCCCTCCTCCTGTCTCTGCCCCGCTCTCTCTCTCTAAGTCTATCATAAATAAATAAATAAATCTTAAAAAAAAAAAAAAAAAGAACCACTTAGAGTTTGGAGATAAAGCAGTAAACAGACCAAATCTCTGCCTTGATGGAACTTATAATATAGTGGAGTACACAGAGGATAACAAGTAGACAAATATCAAAAACAAAACAGAGTAAGGAAGTAGGGAGCTGTTTTAACTACAATGGTCAAGGAAAGCCTCCTTGAAATGATACTTGAAACATCAGTGAAATGATAAAGGGAGCTAGCCAAAGATCTGGAAGAGGAGTGTCTTGGATAGAGGAAACAAGTATAAAGGCCCTCAGGGAGAAAATTTGGTGGATAGGAAGGAGAGCAAGAAGGCCAGTGTGGCTAGAGCAGAGTGGAGAGTGGAGGAGAAAAGACAGGATTATAGGCAAGAGCCATATCATATAGTGCTTTGTAAGCTGTAGTAAGAAGTGTAAAATTGATTTAGTTGCAGTGAGAAGCCATTGGAGAGATTTGAGCTGGGGAGTAACATGTTTGCATTTATTTCTTCATTTGTTTGTTTATGCAATCGATCTTTTCATTGTAATATAAAACACATACCAAAACAACCCATATAAAATAAATGTGTGGTTTAGTAAATTATTTTAGTATATGTGCTGCCGAAGTGAGCACAGGCTTAGTAAATTATTATAAAGGGAACCCCCTTATAACTACAACCCAGATGAAGAAATGCAATTCGGCCACACACCTGAGCCCCTTCCAGGTGCCTTAATTCAATCATAACTCTCTCCTCATCCCCATAAGTAATGATTATCCTCTTATAGTAACTACTTTCTTATTTTTTTTAACCACTTTCTTATGTTTTTAAAAATCGTCTACACCCAAATATACATCTCTAGATACCACAGTTTAGTTTGTAAACTGGCAAACTGTTGTTTGCCTATTTAAAAACAACTTGATGTGTCTTTTAAGTCTGTAGGTTCCCTCTCTATCTCTTTCTTTTTCTATTTATCTGTTAAAGAACTGAAGCCAATTGACCTAAAGAATTTCCCACAGTCTGGATTCTCCTGGTTGCAAATTCCATCTCAGAGTTCCATGTGTTGTTCTTTGTATTCTTTGCCAATTGGCAGCTTGATCCAGAGACTTGTTTTCTTAATATCTTGTTTTCTTTTTTTTGTGATAGTTTTGTGTTGGCAGTTGTTAGTGCTTATTAATATATATGTTTATGAATTTGTTGGGTTTCCAAGATGGTGATGCTTTTAAATTCTTTTTCATTTATTTATTTGTTTGAATATAATTATTGACATTTCTTCTCATGTGTTATTTGGTTACCACTCGTGCAATTCATTTACCTTTATTTACCAGTTTATAATAGAATGAATTGGCCCTCTCTTATCTACTGAAGGTGACCATTTCTTCCTTTTTTTTTTAATATTTTATTTATTTATTCATGAGAGACACACACACACACACAGAGAGAGAGAGAGAGAGAGAGAGAGAGAGAGAGAGGCAGAGACGTAGGCAGAGGGAGAAGCAGGCTCCATGAAGGGAGGTGACGTGGGACTCAATCCCGGGTCTCCAGGATCACACCACAGGCTGAAGGCAGCGCTAAACTTCTGAGCCACCTGGGCTGCCCCATTTCTTCCTTTTTTTAAAAAAAAAAAGATTTATTTATTTAAGAGAGCAAGTGAGTGAGTGTGCAGTGGGCAAGGGGCAGAGGGAGAGAGAAACTCCAGACAGACTCTGCACTGAGCAGAGCCCATTGCTGTTCTTGATCACACCACTCTGAAATCATGACCCCAGCCAAAACCAAGTCAGATGCTTAACCAACTGTGCCACGTGGGTGCCTCCCAATTTTTCCTTCTTAATGTTATTGTGAATTTAAGCATATTTGCTAGGTTTCAGTCCACTGTAGTTAACCATCATTATTAAAGCTTAGAGTGCCCCATCTTTGACCAATGGGAATCTCTTCAATTTGAATCCTGAGTACTTTTGGGATGACCCTAAGGAATCTTTGGGTATGATAAGATGTTCTAAGATTATCTTATATATTTTAAACCCCAGACTAGGAATTAGCCATTTTTCCAAAAAATCCTTTATTTTGTTGGTGAGAAATGACATTTTATGGGGTACTAGGCATGTTTGTTGCTACCTGATTGGTTATTTCTGGTCCTTTTCAGTGGGCATAGTTAAGAAACACATATCTACATATATAAATATGTTCTCTTTAGTTTATATTTGTACTTCCAATTCAAATTCAAGACTATAGAGACTTCTCTTATCCTCTCTATTATATCTGTATCTCTTTATTTTATTTTATTTTTTAAAGATTTATTTAACTATTTGAAGGAGAGAGAGAGCATGCTCCTATGTGTGCAAGTGAGGGGGAGGCACAGGGAGAGAATCCCCAAGCAGACACGCCGCTGAGCACAGAGCCCAACACCCAGAAATCATGACTTGAGCTGAAACCAAAAGCCAGTCACCCAACCAACTGAGCCCAGGCACCCCATCTCCTCTTTTTCTTGAGGCCATGGGGATAATGGAATTAGAATATTGAAGTATGCCATAATTTCTCATTTATTTTATCCATTATTATATACAATAGTCTCAGTAAATAGTACTAACATTATCACAAATGTGATTTTTTTTTAAATTGTTTTTTTTTTTTTTTAATTTACGATAGTCATACAGAGAGAGAGAGAGAGAGAGAGAGAGAGAGGGCAGAGACACAGGTAGAGGGAGAAGCAGGCTCCATGCACCGGGAGCCCGACATGGGATTCGATCCCGGGTCTCCAGGATCGCGCCCTGGGCCAAAGGCAGGCGCCAAACCGCTGCGCCACCCAGGGATCCCCCATCACAAATGTGATTACTGAAAATAGTATCTGTTAAAAATTTAGCATATACTCTCCTCATTCTCTACTAATTAAAAAAATACTTATTTTTATTTTTTTAAAGATTATATTTATTTATGCATAAGAGACATAGAGAGAGAGGCAAAGACATGGACAGAAGAAGAAGCAGGCTTCTGCACTACTATTTGCCCAGTTGCTTAAGCTAGCAGATTAAAAGACACTCACACTTATTCTTTCTTATCTCACATGCAATCCTACTAACTCTACCTGTGAAACATATCCCAAATCTCTTTCTTACCACCCCTACCACTACCATCCTAAACCTGAACTACTACAACAGCCTCCTAATAGGATTCTGTACTTCTACTCTTGAATCCATCAGTCACTTCTTTTTAAAGATAAGTATTTTGGGGACACCTGGGTGGCTCAGTGGTTGAGCATCTGCCTTTGGCTCAGGGCATGATCCCCGTCCAGGGATTGAGTCCTGTATCGGCTCCCCACAGGAGATCTTCTTTGGTAATGAAAATGTTCTAAAATTGGATTCTGGTGATGGTTGTACAACTTCATAAATTTACTAAAAGTCATTGAGTCATACACTTAAAAAGAATGAATGAATCAAATACTATGGAAATAGAATTTCTTTTTTTTTTCTTTTTTTAAGATTTTATTTATTTGAGAGAGAGAAAGAGACATAGCGAGAGAAAGCATGAGCAGGGGCAGTGGAGAGGGGGAAGGAGGCTCCGCTGAGCAGGGAGTCCAACGTGGGGCTCAATCCAAGGATCTGAGATCATGACCTGAGCCAAAGGCAGACACCTAACCAACTGAGCCATCCAGGTGCCCCTGGAAATTATATTTATAAGCTTTTTTAAAAAATGTCATCTTGGGTGGCAGTATCATGGGAGTATATTATAGAAGCAAATGTAAAACAACTACACTCTCTCAACTCAGGCTGTAAAGGATTCTCAGAGAGAAAATAAATTGACTAGATTAAATAGAGACTATTATAGGAGATCAGATAGTGGACTAGTATCTTAAAAGCATTAAGGGAATATAATTGTCAGTGCAGAATTTTGTACTTAGCTAGGAGAAAGCACAGATAAAGACATTTACAAACAGACTGAGAGTTTACCATGTATAGACCTTGGTTGAGAAAACTATTAAATAGGGCATCTGGGTGGCTCAGTGACTGAGCATCTACCTTTGACTCAGGTTGTGATCCCGGGGTCCTGGTATTGAGTCCCACATTAGGCTCCCCACAGGGAGCCTCTTCTCCCTCTACCAGTGTCTCTGTCTCTCTCTCTGTATCTCTCATGAATAAATGAATAAAATCTCAAAAAAAAAAAAACAGGAAAATAAACCCAGAAAGAATGATATTTAAAAAGAAAGGGAAATAGAAACCAAAGACGTGGAGATAAAGACCAATTCTTTGTAATGTTTGGCTAAAGGAGGAGCAAAAGCTGGCAGGAGGTATGAGATTTTAGGGCAGTTTTATTTGGCTGGATTTTTAAAAACAACTTAATTGAGATAAAATTCACATACTACGCAGTTTGCCCAGTTAAAGTATACAGTTCATTGGTTTTTAGTATATTCACAGATATGTGCAACCATCACCTCAGTTTGAGAACATTTTCGTCACTTCAAGAAGAAACACCATATCCTTTAGCTCAGTAGCTACTGTTAATTAGCTATTCCTTCAATCCCCCCTGTACCCTAAGCAACCGCTATAGTAGTCTCCCGTTCTGCAGTCTGGAAGCAGATGATCCTCTTTCTGATGTACTATCACGGGGTCAGTAGTAACTTCATCACAGTGCCTACATCATTTACTCCCTTTGTCTCATCACATAGGCATTTTATCATCTCACATCATCACAAGAAGAGGAGTGAGTATAGTACAATAAGATATTTTAAAAAAGAGAGAACATATTAAAAAGCTATTCAATCTCATAAGAAAAGTCCAAATCAAAAAGCATAAGATTCTTTTTTTTGTTTTTTTTTTTAAGATTTTATTTATTCATTCATGAGAGACACAGAGGGGGAGGGGGGGCTGAGAAATAGGCAGAGGGAGAAGCAGGCTCCATGCAGGGAGCCTGGCGTGGGACTCGATCCTGGGACTCTGGGATCACATCCTGGGCCAAAGGCAGGTGGTAAACCACTGAGCCACCCAGGCATCCCGCATAATAAGATTCTACTATGTATCCATCAAAGTGGCAAAATTAAAGTCTAACAGTCCCAAATATTGCTAAGGATATGGTGTAGTAGGAACTGTTATTCAGTGGTCAGATGCAAATTAGAACAACTACTTTGGGAAAATAATTTGGAATTATCTCTTAAAATTAAAGATATACATACCTTATGATCTAGCAATTCACTCAGATATATGCCTTAGAAAAATTCATGTATGTATAAATAGCAACACTGTATTATTAAAAAAATAGAAAAACTTAAATATCCATCTACGTTAAAATACTTAAGTAAATCATGGCTTATTTATTTAGTGGAATAACATTTAGTGATGAAAGGCAATGTCAGCCATTATAGATGAATTTCATAATCATAGTTGAACAAAAGAAGCCAAACCCAGGGAGTATGTATAATATGATTCTATTTACAAAAGTTTTAAAAAGTCAGGGTACCTGGGTGTCTCAGTTGGTTAAGCCTCTGCCTTTGGCTCGGGTCATGATATCAGGGTCCTGAGATCAAGCCCCAGGTCGAGCTCCCTGCTCAGTGGGGAGCCTGCTTCTCCCTCTCCCTCTGTTGTTCTCCCCCGCTTGTGCTGACTTGTGTGCTCTGTCAAATAAATAAATACCCCCCCAAAAAAGAACTGTTTTTTTTTTTGTTGTTGTTGTTTTAGGGGGGTGGGGAAGGGGCAGAGGGAGGGAGAGAGAATCTCTCTGCCCAGCGCAGAATCTGACATGAGGCTCTGAAATCAAGAGTCAGACACTTAACCCACTGAGCCACCCAGACACCCCTGAATTACGTTGCTCTAAAGACAAGGAAATGATTATTAGGAAGTTAGGAAAGTAGTTACCTCTGCGAGAAGGAGGGCTGTGATGGAGGAGAGGCACATAAGGTCTTTTGGTGCTAGTGTGTTCTTTTTCTTGACTTTGTTTTTAGTTACATTGGTGTTTGAATAATTATTCATCAGTACATATTTATCCTATGTATTTTTTTTTCTATTTCTGTTATATTTTACAATTACAAAGTAAAGTACATTGAACTAAAATCAGTTCTGGGGTTGGTTCTAGCTTGGTTTGCCACTTACACTCTTAATGTCTTACTCTTCTATCTGCTCAGGGGCTGCCAGGACCACCACCACCTAGGCACTCATTTTGCTATGAGAATTAAATTAAATAAAGCACTTAGAGATGCTTTATAAGTTGTGAACCTGTTTACAGATAATATTACTAGGGCATGTGATGGAGTAACAGTGGGTAGTTGATAGTATTCATATTAATGGAGTAGTGACCATGGAATATGATTATTCTGACACGGATTTATGAGCATTGGCTATGGAGCTAACAGTATGTTTGGTGCTGTGGAAAACAAGAAATGCTAAGCCCAACAAAGAGCTTAGGGAGGTGAAAGGTTGACTAGCATAACGCTCAGGAAAGAGTAGTTGAATGAATGAATGAGTGAAAAGTGTTAAACTACAACACTAATAGGAACTAACCAAATATAATAAAGTACAAGTTATTCAGTAGAGACAAAATAAGAAGAAAGGATAAATCAGAATTTCAGTGTAACTGACTATTGTGAAGAATTTGATTCATTCATGAAATTGCATATGGAGCTTGTTATGTACAATAATCTGTGTTGTAGATTTCTGCAGTAATATCACCATAAGTGCCAATAAAGTTACTTGTTGATATGTAATGATAACGGAATAATTTTGTATTTATATTTTAATGTCCCATCTAATACCATGGGAATGTCCAGTGTAGCTATCCAAGTAATGAGGCTTTTGCTAGATAAACTCAGCTAGAAGGCTATCTGGTTTATGTCCTGTTTCCCGTTCTAGTAGAGTTGGCATCATCTTTCTGATTAGTATAGAGTGTCAAACTCAGCTGACCTACTCTGCTCTTAACAACTTTACCAGGATAAAGTAGTTAAATACTTTGGTTGGTTGGTTGATTTATTTATTTATTTATTTATTTATTTATTTATTTATTTATTTATTTATTTATTTTTAAATACTTTGGTTTAAAAGTAAAACAAACTGCATTTGTTTGATCCCACATTTATTAAGTGCCTATTGTGTTAATGCATCTGCACACTTTCCAGCTTCTTCAGGACTTCTACTTACAATACTGAAGTGTTTTGTTTGTTTATTGAGGCAATTTTTCAACAAAGGATTAAGTCAGAGGAAGTGATAATCTAGTAGAGTAAATACTTGATCTGAGGGTGCTTGGCATATGTTTGTGGAGTGAATCTAATGGAAAACAAGATTTTCCATGGATAATCATAGTGTAGATCATTGGGAATGTAATGTATCTACAAGTGTACAAAAGTACAAAGCCATAAAACAGCCCAGGATGACAGTAAGATGCTGTAGAAAAGTATAGTTTCCTGTATGATGTGGAGCTCCTGCCAACTTTGAAGGGTGTCCCAGCATGCTTGTCATCTCTGCCTTCCTTGTCCTCACAGGTTCCCTGGGTCTCAGCCCTTTGGGTCAGTCCCATTGGCCCCTGTGGTCAGCCAGCCAACTGTGCTTCAGCCCTATGGCCCTCCCCCGACAAGTGCACAGGTGACTGCTCAGCTGGCCGGAATGCAGATCAGTGGTGCTGTGGCCCCAGCCCTTCCCCCTGTGGGGCTAGGCTATGGTGAGTAGAAATGACCGCAGGAATGTGACTATCTCCTTCTTTTTAGAAGCATCAGACTCTGGGGTATACCTGAATCCCTTTTATTTCTAGTGTTTCTGAATGCCAGCCAATGGGACAACCGTTCTTGCTCCTCATGTGGAAAAGGAGTGATTTACTGATTAAGAAGGCAAAATGACTAGGGTTCTGACTCTACCTCTTCTACTTCTCAGGCTCACCAGCATCACTGGCCTCAGCCTCAGGAAATTTCCCCAACCCTGGTCTGTATGGCTCTTATCCTCAGGGCCAGGCTCCTCCCCTTAGCCAGGCCCAGGGTCATCTTGGGGCCCAGCCTCCCCAGCGATCTGCCCCACCACAGGCCTCCACCTTCACATCCCCAGCTTCAGGGGGTCCTCGGATGCCTTCGATGACTGGTCCGTTCCTGCCTGGACAGGGTTTTGGGGGGCCCTCATTGAGCCAGCCCAACCACGTGTCCTCGCCTCCTCCTCAAGCTCTGCCTCCTGGCACCCAAATGACTGGGCCGCCAGGACCACCACCACCTATGCACTCCTCCCAGCAGCCAGGCTATCAGCTGCAGCAAAATGGTGAGTTTTTTCCCAAGGTCTGTCTAGGAGCCAAAGGCTTCAGCTATTCAGGTGTTTTTTTGTTTGCTTTTAGTATTGCTTGCTAAGTGGTGAACTAGATGGACAGTTTCAGGGTATTAGTTCAGATAGTGTGGCCTTTCTCTGAATGGCTATTACCTCATAATTCTGCACTTAGAGGAGTCTAGCCATTTTCCTGAGGCCTTAAGAAGAAACAGGGAGGGTATTTTGAATTTATGAATCTTGTGCCATTGTCTCTCAGGTTCCTTTGGACCAGCCCGGGGTCCTCAGCCCAATTATGGAAGTCCCTACCCAGGAGCACCCACTTTTGGCAGTCAGCCTGGGCCTCCTCAACCACTGCCTCCTAAACGCCTGGATCCTGATGCCATCCCAAGCCCTGTAAGTAGATACTTATGTGGTCCTAGGGAAGGAGTTTGTGGCTGCCAGAAAAATGAATCAATCTAGATGAGATGTTTGCCTAGCATTTTCTGATTATTTTCCCTTTTCATTCATCTTCTTGTAGATGTAGAACCTAGATTTGATTTTTGACTCTTTGAACTGGAGCTTGAGGCCCCGGAAGACTTTTGGAGGCAATTTTACTCCATAGCTGGGCAGGAAAGGAGAGGAAGCCAAGAGTGATAAGTAGTGTCAGTAGAGCTCTGGGTTGAGTGCTGCATTCTGTCACTGTTGGACATAGCATGGTAACCTCTCCCCTTCTATGGAATAGTAGCTGGGTCCAGGTCTTGTCCTCTTAGATTTGGCAGGGTAGCAGTCTACTTAATGGGTAGAGCTGGTGGGAATTCTCTGATGGTAGGTGTTAAGAGAAGGAAAGCCTCACTGGTTTCTCTCTGCCCCTAGCTGGACAGTATTTTAGGAGGAAACTTCAAGTACTTTTGTTGGCTAGAATCTTGCTATGTAGTTGGGGGAAAGTGATCTATAGTTTATAAGGACAATGTGGGGGAGCTGCTTTTCCCAGGAAGAGGGTGAATCTCACCCTTAGAGCCATCATCAGAATCCTCAGGCCTTCTTATCCTACTTGAAATAGAGGCTGGGACTGTACTCCTAAGTGGGGGCTAGTTTATAGTTCTGTCTACAACATTTGCTATGTCAGTTACCTCACCATGCTTAGCCATTGTCATATTCCATTCTGTTCTCTTCCCTCTTCCTTTGGGGAATTACCATGGTGAAGGACCCTGTCGGCTAAGAGGGACCCTAGAGGATTAAGCATCCTCCTTTTCCTCTCCAGGGCGAAGGAGTGTCTAGTTGGATGTCAGGAAAGGCTTTTTTTTTTTTTTTAAAGATTTTATTTATTTATTCATGAGAGACAGAGAGAGAGAGAGAGAGAGGGAGGGAGGGAGGGAGAGGCAGAGACACAGGCAGAGGGAGAAGCAGGCTCCGTGCAGGGAGTCCAATGTGGGACTCGATCCCGGGTCTCCAGGATCAGGCCCTGGGCTGAAGGTGGTGCTAAACTGCTGAGCCACCCGGGCTGCCCAGAAAGGCTTCTTTAATAAGCACAGTCCTTAGATGGGAGGTTTGGCCTTTTGGAGGGAACATCCCTCTTCCTCCTTAAGATTTCTCCCATTCAGCCCCTCCCTGTAAAACTCTGCTTGCTTCTTGTTTGCCCTGTTATATTTCTATATCATAGTCTGAGCCATTAAAGCCTCTGTGTTGGGCCAGCGAGACTTGGAATTTCTAACCTAGAGAGGGCCTGATTTCAGCACTATAAGCTGGGCTCCAGCTATTCATGTCTAACTCATCGGGGTCGAGAGAAGTAACATCTGCTTCTTGTTCTTTTGTCTCCCTCCCTGTATTCCCCTGCTGCCTTTATTATTAAAACACTAAAAGCAACTCAATGAGCTGCCTCCTCAGCAGAAAACCAGGCACAGAATAGACCCTGATGCCATTCCTAGTCCAGTAAGTGCAGGGGGTGGTATGTGTGTGCGTGTCATCCCTGTGTTAATGCCACCCATGCATGTCTGTGACCTCATCTTCACCTCATCCACCATGTACATCCCTCTCCATCCTCTTCCCTTAGTCCTTCTAGACCCTTGCTTTTACAAACCAGAAGGATGTGCATGTCTCAAATCACCATGTAATGCAATAACAAGCTGTTAGCCGTGCTTTGAGTATGGGTTGGTAGATCAGGCTCTAAGGGTGGGATCACGTGGCATGTTAAGTGTTGGTTTTGGTCCTGCTGGGTCCTCTAGGAGCCTGCATGTGACATTTGATAGAACAGGACAAAGTGGAGTGGTAGGTTCTTCCCTTTGGGGATTGATTTATCTACAGCTTGTGGAGGAACTTTGGGTAGGTGCAAGTGTGGAATACTGGCATTTCTCACAGGGGACGAGACTGCTGGTTTGGGAAAAGTGTGGGCCACTTTCTCATCTGGAGGGTCTGTTTGACTCTGATATGTTTCATCTCTTTCTGCTGTGGGATATGGAGTCTTACTCTTCCCTTACTTTTTCTGTTTTTCCAAACCATCTTAAAGTAACTGACCAAAGGTCATCAGCTACACGAAGATCTGATAACTTTTGCAAGATCTTTTTTTTCCCTTCCTTTTGCTGGGTCTGTCAAAATGTGGGGGACTGAGGATTGGGCTTATAAGGATCAGGTCCTTAATCCTCTTCTCCCATATTGACACACTGATGCTTACCTGAAAATAAGGCAGCATCTGCTTCCTCACCTTACCTGGTCATTTCTGTTTAATCCTCTCCTCACCCTGTTCCTTCTGCTTTCATTGAGTGTAGAGTCATTCCAGGTAGGTTCATTTTTTACATGGTTACTGTTGTCTGTTTTCCAGCTCTGACTCAGATGTGTCTTGATGAGAGGAGGGGGAGGGGAGGCTTGATGGGGGAGGGAAACAGAATCTGATCATGTTTGAAGGTTTGTGACAAGACTTGGAGCTTTCCTGGGCGGGGGGGAAGGGGGTGGTCACTACTGATTGGGGATCAGGGCATTTCATAAAGAAGTCCATTCTCTAGTGTTTCCTGTCTAGCATTTTGCTGCTGACTGTAGGGTGGAAGATTGGCATTGTAGCATTTTATGTGATCTCCAGAAGGAGAACAGACCTGATGCATGAGGTATTCTTGGCAAATTACTAGTTTCTGTGCTGTAGCTCTAGCCTTTTTTTCTCCTGGCTCTCTAGGACCTGGTAGTTCCCTTTTTCCTGTCATCTCACTCATTCCACTTCTTCCCTACAGATTCAGGTTATTGAAGATGACAGGAACAACCGGGGTTCAGAGCCATTTGTTACTGGAGTACGGGGACAGGTGCCACCCTTAGTCACCACGAACTTCCTGGTGAAAGACCAAGGTAAGAAGGGTATTTCTCCCTGTGAGGGCTTTTTCTTCAAGATTATCAGCTTATGGATAAGCTTTTGTCAGCCTCATTTTTTTCTTGAAGATTTATATTTATTTGAGAGAGAGGGAGGGAGAGGGAGTACACATGGGGAGAGGGGCAGAGGAAGAGGCAGACTCCCTGCCCAGTATGGAGCCCAATGTGGGGCTTGAGATCACGACCTATGCTGCAATCAAGAGTTGGATGCTTAACCGACTGAGCCACCTGGGTGCCTCGCTTTTGTCAGTCTTCAATGAGAAACCAGTCCCTCCTTGGTCTCTAGGGGAAAAGCTGCCATCCGCTTTAGCATTTTTTTGTGGTGATGGCGTGTATCAGCAATGGAGAGCTAGTGTCTGGAGGGATTCTTTGATCTGACTCAGGTTTTCTACCTCCTCCAGGGAATGCAAGTCCCCGATACATCCGATGCACATCTTATAATATCCCTTGCACATCTGACATGGCTAAGCAGGCTCAGGTGCCCCTGGCAGCTGTTATCAAGCCACTGGCAAGGCTGCCACCAGAAGAGGTAAGTCAGGGAAAGGATTAGAGTATAATGAATGGGAGGAAGAGCGAGGGAATAAGACTTCTTCCTAGAAATGATGCTGGCATTCATAATGGAAGAAGTCTTGGTTGGGTGTGAAGGGAGAGTATCTTCAATAGCTTTCTACCCCAGGGCCTATGCCTCATGGCATAGGTGGTCGGGATGAAGGTAAAATCCTAAGAAATTGTTGGATGGAAGCACAGTCCATATGGGAGGCAAACTATGAAAAAGAGGTAGGGCCAACTTGTAGGGGAGGAGATAGCTGAATGCAGAAGCTTCTCATAGCATGGTTATCTCCAAATGATTACAAGTACATTATCCTGTTTTTCTTTTTTTTTTTTTTTTTATCCTGTTTTTCTTTTGTACAGTCCTATCATCCCTGCTGGTAAGTTAGGGAATGTTAGGACAGCATATAAGAAAAAAGGGTAGATTAGGGTCTAATAGTCCTTCTCTTACCTGGCTTGGTCCTGATTTATCACCTCAGTACCTGAAATCAGCATGAAAAGAGAGCACGAGCTTGTCAGCTGCTCTGACAGGCTTTGGTAGGATAGCCTCATGTTGGTGAGAGGAGGCCTAGCTTATTGAATTTAGGATGGATTTCTCTATAACTGGAAGCTCAAGACTCAGTTTACATCCTGCTTCTCTCTGTCTTGCTCTGTGTTTTTCTCATTCTGGGTCTCAGTGGGGATGGTTAGACACTTGGCCGCTGATCTTTTATTTGTAGGATAACATCTACTTGGGTCATTGGTAGGTAGGTGTCACAGAAACCCAGGGATGGGGGAGGGTCAGTCTCCCAGGTACTTGGTTGGGGAAGGAAGCAAAGTTAAGATTCCTAGGGCAAGAGTGAAGAGAATTGAAGATAGGGCCAAAAATGAGAATCCTAGATAATCTTTGGCTTTCTCCTTATATGCCTGTGGCAGCCCCTGATTTGGCAGGTCCATTTTCACAGGTCTTCTCATTCAAGAAGTGGAATTCTAAAGAGGAGAAAGAAGAGGAAACTATAGAATTTGAACTCTTAGGAACATTCCTGTCACCAGTACCCTCATCATTTATCTTCATTCCCCTTCACTGTACTCCTTCCTTAGGCAAAATACCTTAGCTATGCCCTCCTCCTTCCAGGTCGTTCCTCTTCATCTATTGCCACATGTCTCAACCCACTGTAGCTTTTCTCTGTGTGAGCTCTTCTCCTTTGCTCCTTAGGCGTCACCCTATGTTGTGGACCACGGGGAATCTGGCCCCTTGCGCTGCAATCGCTGCAAAGCATATATGTGTCCCTTCATGCAGTTCGTTGAAGGAGGGAGGCGCTTCCAGTGCTGCTTTTGCAGTTGTATCAATGATGGTATATTCACAGAGGCTGGGACTGGGGGGTGTTTTGTACTTCATCTTCATTATTTTCTTTCTAGTTAGATAGGTGAGGTTCCATTATTCGGGAACTGGGGAATAGGGCATATATGGGGATGTGGGGCAGTAGAGTGAGCTCAGCCAGGGCAAGACTTCCTAAGATTGAGAGTGGACATTTGAGTAATTTCTGCATGCTCCCCCTCAGTTCCCCCCCAGTATTTTCAACATCTGGATCATACTGGCAAACGTGTGGATGCTTATGACCGTCCTGAGCTATCCCTGGGCTCTTATGAATTCTTGGCCACTGTAGATTACTGCAAGGTAAGGGAAAGTTGCATGGGGAGGAGCAGTGGGTGGAGCACATTGAGACTAAGAATCCCTGTGTACGTCCCTCACCCTTTTGTTGTCCTCTTTGATGTTGACTTCTCTCTAGTCAACTAGTCTGCTTACCAATACCCCATACCTCTCTCCCCAACATTTCCTTCTTTTGCAGAACAATAAGTTCCCCAGCCCCCCTGCCTTCATCTTCATGATTGACGTCTCCTACAATGCCATCAGGAGTGGTCTTGTTAGGCTCCTCTGTGAGGAGCTCAAGTCACTGTTAGACTTTCTACCTAGGTGAGACTTCTGGAGACAAGGTGCTTCCTTTGGACAAAATCATGGGGGTGGGAGGGTTCCGGCTTGATTCAGTAGATAGAGCTTGAGGTCATGAAGTTGGCTGGGGGAGAAGATGGCAAGTATGGGTAATGATGCTACCTTCTACAGGGAGGGAGGAACAGAAGAATCAGCAATCCGTGTTGGCTTTGTCACCTATAATAAGGTGCTCCACTTCTACAATGTGAAGAGCTCATTGGCCCAGCCACAGATGATGGTTGTATCTGATGTGGCTGACATGTTTGTGCCGCTACTAGATGGCTTCCTTGTCAACATTAGTGAGTCTCGGGCAGTCATCACGAGGTAAGAGCCAGATTGTAGAGATAAAGTGGGAGTGAGGTGGGTACAATCAAAGAAGACCAGATAGTTGAGCAGAGGGGTCAGCAGATGGATAGGGACTGTGCCTCAGGAGTTTCAGTCTAGAGACCACTGGATTCTTCAGAGAATTGAGGACTGAGGAATCAAGTCTGGATAGCAATTTTGATTGCCTTCCATCACCTGTCTCTTCAGCTTATTGGATCAGATTCCTGAAATGTTTGCAGACACAAGGGAGACAGAAACAGTATTTGCCCCAGTTATTCAGGCTGGGATGGAGGCTCTAAAGGTAAGGCTAGAACCTTGGCAACTTCCTCTGCCTTGCTTTCCTTTGACCATCTGATACCTTGGGATATAACCCCTGTTTCTTTAGTGATTGATGACTGTCCAGTAACTCATCACTGGCATATCTGACATACCTGGCACTGACTAAATGACAAGGGAAGGAATAAATGAATAATAGCTGAATAAAGGAAAGAATGAACAAGTAGTCCTCTCTTTCCTAGGCTGCTGAGTGTGCAGGGAAGCTGTTTCTGTTCCATACCTCCCTGCCCATTGCAGAGGCCCCAGGGAAACTGAAGAACAGAGACGACAGGAAGTTGATCAACACAGACAAGGAGAAGGTGTGGGACTGGGAGATGGGGGGAGGACTTTCCATTATAGAGGAAGGTGGTAATTCTTCACAATGCAATACTCTTTTAACTTTCTTGAAGGGGGACTGGGACTAGACACCCTGCTCTTTCACATGTCAAGTCCATGACTGCCAACCTTCTCTAGTGCTCCCACACCTCTCTACCCCATCTCATCTCAAAGCCCTCGATCGATTCTTTTTTTAGAGAATGTCCTACTATTGTTGCAAATAACCTACGAAATAGATCTGAAGTCTTAGATATATTTGAATATCTTGTATTAACCATATAGTTCTCAAATAGGGTAGAGCTGAAGTATTTGAATGTTTTCTTCTGTTCTTCCCCAGACTCTGTTCCAGCCTCAGACAGGTGCCTATCAGACCCTGGCCAAAGAGTGTGTGGCCCAAGGCTGCTGTGTAGATCTCTTTCTCTTCCCTAACCAGTATGTGGATGTGGCCACACTCTCTGTTGTACCCCAGCTCACTGGTGGCTCTGTCTACAAATATGCTTGCTTTCAGGTAGGATATGGGACTCTGGGTGGCAAGTGGAAGCAGGACTGGGAATATCTGCTTACACATGGAGTAGTTCTTTAGCTGCTGACTCATTAATAGGAATCCTAGTGAAGGAGAAGACTGTAACATAAAGAAGAGAACACAAGGGTAGTGGTTAGGAGCATGAGGCTTGGAATTGTCCTTAGTTGTTATTCTGGCCCTCCCAGAATACTAGGAGTCTGACCTAAGAGAATTACTCAATTATTATTTCTTTGTTTCATCGGTAAAATGGGATTTTAATACTTAATTAGGGTTTTTCATCAGGGTCAAGTAGTTATATGTAAAATACTTAATGTGGTATTTGGCATGTAGTAAATGCTTAAAAGCTATCATTATCATCGTTATTATCATCTCCACTGTTGTTATGATTCAGCAGCTTGTAGAGTGGAGGGGATACAGGGAGATAGTCTTCAGGACGTAATGTAGTCAGTGATGTGACTCTGGGCCTGGGGGGCTGCAGGTGGAGAATGACCAGGAACGGTTCCTGAGTGACCTCCGTCGGGATGTACAGAAGGTTGTTGGCTTTGATGCTGTGATGCGCGTTCGGACAAGCACTGGTCAGTCCTGGTTAGAGAAGAGCAGGTTGGGGGCTAAACCTGGGAGGGAGGCAAGTGGCATCTATGATATCTGTAGCCCTGACCCTATCCACGTGGTCTCAGGTATCCGTGCAGTAGATTTCTTTGGGGCTTTCTACATGAGCAACACAACAGATGTGGAGCTGGCTGGGCTGGATGGGGACAAGACGGTGACTGTGGAATTCAAGCATGATGATCGGCTCAATGAAGAGAGTGGAGCCCTCCTGCAGGTAGCAGGCAGCAGGCAGGGGCTGGGGAGGAAGTGTCAAGTATCATACTGGTTATAAATGGGCTGCTACGAAGAAGGTAGGAGGTGGGGGAGAGGACTAGAAGAGTCTGGGGAAGGGTGGCTCATGTCTTTCTTCTAGCTTAATAATACAGCAAAAGAACAGGCTTTCAGAGGGTTTTGGTGAGGGAAGGGTATGAGTTCTCCCTTTCTCCTTTCCCCTAGTGTGCCTTGCTCTACACCAGCTGTGCAGGGCAGCGACGGCTCCGCATCCACAACCTGGCCCTGAACTGCTGCACCCAGCTGGCTGATCTGTATCGAAACTGTGAGACTGACACACTCATCAACTACATGGCCAAGTTCGGTGAGGGTAGAGGCAGGGATTGGGAAGTGGGATTGGGGCTGAGAGAGAGGTGACTGTCAATGATGCAGCACTCCCAGGTAGGTATGGTGGCAGGAAAGCACATGTGATGGGGTGGCCAGTCAGTGACTGTGCTGTCTCCCTTTCCAGCATACCGGGGGGTCCTCAATAGCCCTGTAAAGACTGTTCGTGATACTCTCATCACTCAGTGTGCCCAGATCCTGGCCTGTTACAGAAAGAACTGTGCCAGCCCCTCCTCTGCAGGACAGGTAGGACAAGCCCATTGAAGGAATTGCTGGGACAAATTTTTCCACCTGGGAGAGATTTCTCATGATCATTAACTTTACTTTAATAACCCCTGCAGTTGATTCTTCCTGAGTGCATGAAGCTACTCCCAGTTTACCTGAACTGTGTGTTGAAGAGTGATGTCCTGCAGCCTGGAGCTGAAGTCACTACTGATGACCGTGCCTATGTCCGACAGCTGGTTACTTCCATGGATGTGGCTGAGACCAATGTCTTCTTTTATCCTCGGCTCCTACCATTGGTGCGACTGAGGGCTGGGGTGTGAGACATTGAGTTGAGAAAGGGGCATCATAGGAGAAAGGGAGGAGTTAATATTATCTGTGTCTAACACCAGTGAATTTGTTTTTAACCTACATTATCTGATGTAATTTCCACACTAAGAAAGTTACTGAGATTTAGCTTTCTGAAATTGTGTGTGTGGGGGGTGGGTGGTGGTGGCACAAATGTGTCTTATGGTCCTTGGTAAATAACCTTTTGCCCCCTTCCTCTTGTTTAGACAAAGTCTCCCATTGAGAGTGCCACTGAACCGCCAGCAGTTCGAGCATCTGAAGAGCGTCTAAGCAATGGGGATATATATTTGCTGGAGAATGGGCTCAACCTCTTCCTGTGGGTGGGAGCAAGTGTCCAGCAGGGTGTTGTCCAGAGCCTCTTCAATGTCTCCTCCTTCAGTCAGATCACCAGTGGCTTGGTGAGAGCAGGAAGTCAAGGGGAATATGGGTGTGGAAATGCATTTTGTGATAGGAGTGGGAGCCAGTAAATCTTGGGTGCTAGTCCCCTTGAATAGCAGGTAGTATTTGGGGAGGAGGGAGGGTGCTGTCATTTCCCAGGCTCGTTTCAGATGATGAATACCTCTGTGCTGCCCCATGTGACTGAGCTCAGAGTATCTTTACCATAAGGATAAATTAATTTTGTGTTGCAGAGCGATTTGCCCGTTTTGGATAATCCGCTGTCCAAGAAAGTGCGAGGCCTCATTGATAGCTTAAGGGCACAGCGATCACGGTACATGAAGGTAACACTGATCTAAACCCTGCATTTCTTACTTTGTCAAGTCCTCCCCTAGAAGGGGGGTGGGAATAAGTGATTGGATAATGGGATGTTAGGGCATATTTCATTCCTTTTGGTGCTGCCTAATGACCCTATCTTTTGGCCATAGCTTATCGTGGTGAAACAGGAGGATAAGCTGGAGATGCTGTTCAAGCACTTCCTGGTGGAAGACAAGAGCTTGAGCGGAGGAGCATCGTATGTGGACTTTCTCTGTCATATGCACAAGGAAATTCGGCAGCTACTGAGCTAGAGCAAGTGGGTAAATGGCAATAGGGTCCCAGGCCAGCTTCCAGAAAGTATCCCAGGATGGCAGAGAAATTGGAACAGTTCCGTATCTAAGTCATGTAAGCTGACCTCAATCTCTTTGGGGGGTGGGGGAGGTATAAGGAGACACCTTTCTGGGATCAAGTATCCTACCACTCTGTCATGTCCTGCTGATGGAAGGTGCCCCTATCCCCTCACTTTATCCTCCTTTTCCTGCTAATCCTGTCGTAATGAATGTAGTTTCTCAGTTCACAGTATATGATTCGGTGTTGGGGGATTTGGAGGCACCCAGACTCTGGCAATATTATGTGTCCCCTTGGACCAGCCTCCAAGAAGAGAGGGGCCAGCCTCCAAGAAGAGAGGGGCAGGCAGGAAGGAGTGGAAATCCCAGGGTTACCATGGGGGGGGTGTGCTAATTCAGCTCAGTGTCATCAACAACTTCCTATATTAGGGATGAAACATACAGGTGCACAAGAGCTGGGGTATAGACCATAGATGGTGGAGAGAAAAGTGGTTGGTCAGTCCTTCTTGGGCCTAGAAATCAGCAACCAAGTCAAAAGTTAGGGAGAGTGGCTGATTAGCTTTTCTCTCTTTCCTGTAATGATTGGTGATCACTCAGTGGATAGAGGCACATTGTCACAGGTGAATGAGCCTGGGAAATGAATTGCAAAGATTAGGACCTGGAAGAGGTACCAGCCTCTTTTCCAGCTGGAGAGGCTCCAACACTGGATAGTTCTGTAGGGAGCCTGGTCATCAACTTGCAATACCTCACAGAGCCAGCCCCTCTCCCACTCTGTGCTCGCACTGGAAACACTGATTCTCCAAGCTGGGAGTTATTGGGGAGAGAGGCAGAGGTGGCTGGAGCTCTGTTCTCTCCTGCCCGGACACCACTCGAGCTGTGGTATTGACAGAGTGGCTGACAGCTATCTTCCAACCTGAACTGGCTGGGGCAGGACAAGGGCTAGGCTTGATGGTGGCCAGGCTTGTCTGCTCCCAGCCTGGGATGCCCTGCTCTGGACCTCTCATTTCTCTTCATTGGTTTATTTTTCAATGCATCTTTAATTTGTAAAGAAATAAAATAAATTAAGATGTAACAGCCTCATTTTTACTTGTGACTTACCATTTCCCCCCCCCCCAATTCGCTCCTGGGAGGCCTAGCACTTCGCAGGAAGTGGCCGGCTGCGCGGAACTGCGCATGCGCCACACGCCCCGTGGGCGTCGGATCCTGTCCGGGGGCCGCTCACCGCAGGGCGGGATCTGGTGCCGCCGGGAGGAGTTAGGGGGTGGTGGGGCAGCTGCCAGCGGCCATGGCGGCAGGCCGCGGCTGGGCTGTGCTTGCCGTCCTCGGGGCGCTGAGTGCTTGTGCGGTCAGCGGCCCTGGGCCTGAGGCCGAGGGGGACACCGGCGGGGAGGCGGCCTGGACGGAGCCGTGGGATGGTGCGGTTTTCCGGCCGCCCTCAGCGCTGGGCGCGGTGGGGGTGGCGCGCAGCCCCGGGGCCCCGCGGCCCGGGGGGGAGGAGGCGGTGGGCCTGCCGGTGCTGCTGTGGTGGAGCCCGGGGCTGTTTCCCCACTTCCCCGGCGACTCGGAGCGCATCGAGTGCGCGCGCGGGGCGTGCGTGGCGTCCCGGGACCGACGGGCGCGGGGGCACCCGCGGACGCGCGCGCTGCTCTTCTATGGCACCGACTTTCGCGCGTCTGAGGCGCCGCTGCCGCGCCTGGCCCATCAGAGCTGGGCGCTCCTGCACGAGGAGTCGCCCCTCAACAACTTCCTGCTGAGCCACGGTCCGGGCATCCGCCTTTTCAATCTCACTGCCACCTTCAGCCGCCATTCGGACTACCCGCTGCCGCTGCAGTGGCTGCCCGGGGCCGCCTACCTGCGCCGCGCGGCGCCTCCGCTAGAGGAGCGCGCCGAGTGGCGGCTCCGGGGCTACGCGCCGCTGCTCTACCTGCAGTCCCACTGCGACGTGCCTGCGGACCGGGACCGCTACGTGCGGGAGCTGATGCGCTACATCCCGGTGGGTGGGGCCGGGCCGGGGCGGGGCCGGGGGGCGAGGGGGCGCGCGGCTGAGGCCGGGACCTCCGTTGTCCGGGCCGACCTGCGGCACCCGCTTGACGGCCGTCCTCTACCCCGCTCAGGTGGACTCCTATGGGAAATGCCTGCAAAACCGGGAGCTGCCCACTCCGCGGTTACAGGACACAGCCACAGCCACCACCGAGGATCCAGAGCTCTTGGCCTTCTTGTCTCGCTATAAGTTCCACTTGGCCCTCGAAAATGCCATCTGTGATGACTACATGACCGAGAAACTGTGGCGCCCCATGCATCTCGGGGCTGTGCCTGTGTATCGCGGCTCTCCTTCAGTGAGGGACTGGATGCCCGACAATCACTCCATCATCCTCATCGATGACTTTGAGTCCCCGCAGAAGCTGGCAGAATTTATTGACTTTCTGGACAAGAATGACGAAGAATACATGAAATACCTGGCATATAAGCAACCTGGGGGCATCACCAACCAGTTCCTCCTGGATAGTCTGGAGCACCGGGAGTGGGGGGTGAATGATCCTATGTTGCCTAACTACCTCAATGGCTTCGAGTGTTTCGTTTGTGATCATGAACTGGCTCGTCTGGAGGCCGAGAAAGCCCACGCAGCCTCTCCCGGGGACATCCCTGGCCCTGAACCTCACATTGCCCAGCCCTCACACATGGACTGTCCAGTGCCCACACCTGGCTTTGGCAGTGTGGAAGAGATTCCTGAGAATGACAGGTAAGGATAGCTGGGGTCCCTGTAGCGCCATCAAATCAAATGGCTGACTTACTTGCTTACTGTGGGCAGTGAGCTAGTAACTAGATTCTGAGGGGATTGTTTGTTGTATAAGAAAATCGTGACATGGGCTTACGCTACCTTTAAAGTGTCAGGAAAAAAAAAAGTATCAGGAGTCTAGTTGGGGAGACCAGACCGAAAAAGCTCAGTAAAAGATGCAAAATACAATTCAAGGCAACAACATGAGGATCAGCTTATGTGAGCAGTGTTTACAATAGTGATTCAAAAAGGCTTCAACCAAAAAAAAAAAAAAAAAAAAGGCTTCAACCAGACCCAGGGGGGCCTGTTCGGAGCAAGTGATGGGGGAGAGACAAAGTTGGGTAGATAAGCTGGGGCCAGGCTCTACAGAGCTTGAATACCAGGCTCAGGAGCTGGACTGTCCTGAAAATCAACTCAGCTGTTTATTCAGTACCTTCCATATGATGGGGGTGGGAATGAGCAGTGCAAAGATGGGTATTTTGAGAGCTTTGTCTGCAGCAGGGTTTACGTCTGTTGGTATAATTATTAGTAGCACCTCCTTTCATTCTTAAAAGTACTCTGATTTGGATGATAAATTATGTTCACGGGACGCCTGGGTGGCTCAGCGGTTGAGCATCTGCCTTTGACTCAGGGCGTGATCCTGGGGTCTTGGGATCAAGTCCCACATTGGGGTGGACTCTTCAAGAAGCCTCAAGGAGCCTGCTTCTCCCTCTGTTTCTGCCTCTCTCTCTGTGTCTCTCATGAATAAATAAAATCTTAGAAAAAATTAAAGTATCTATTTTTAACAAAATCTTTAAAATAAAAAAAATTATGTTCACTCTAAACAAAATAGGACTGCTTTCAATAGATAATAATGAAATGGTGGGCGAATTGGAAGAGAAGTGAGGAAGCTACTGCCACGCTGTTTCCATTGGGAAACAATGTCAGCATGGGAGGTAGGGTGGGAAAATGTTGAAGCCACTTGTAGGAAACCACAGGTGTTCAGGGAGAGGTGATAAAAGATTATTAAGCTTAAGAAAGCAAGGCTGTTAGAATGGCCTGCAGAGACTGGCTTACACAGTGGATGGCAGCAGAGGGTTGTTTGTATACACTGCTGGCACAGTTTGGTTCTGGGAATGGAGTCCTCCTCCGCCAAGTAGTTTGTATCTATACTGAACATAATGCATTATGATTTACTAGAAGCAAAGTGTAGAACACTTAAAAAAGAAAATATGTTTCATCTAGACATTGGACATCACTGCACCTTCATTAAAGGTGCAATTTTATACAATAACTAAAGAGGCTCCAGGCTTTACTTTCAGAGACTTCTGGTTCCATAGTCTGGCCCTTGCCCTGCCTTCCTCTGAACTCCTTCCACATTTGGGAACCAGGAGTGAGCAAGTCAGGAAGTTTAACTCATTAGGGGTGGGTTGTGTGGGCTGTATGATAAATACACGTTTGCAATTTACTGTCACCTGTACTACTACTAGATTTACTTCACATTTCCTCCCCTTCAAAGCAGAGCCCTGTCCCAGCCAGAGACTGCTGTATCTGCTTAAGATTTCTTTGACTCAATTCAGAGAAGGCAGGACTCATAGCTGTGTAGAGGTTCCATAATCCAACTTTTCTTTTGATGTTTCAGCTGGAAGGAGATGTGGCTGCAAGATTATTGGCAAGGTCTGGACCAGGGGGAAGCTCTCACTGCCATGATCCACAACAATGAGACAAAGCAGATGAAATTTTGGGATTACCTACATGAGATCTTCATGAAAAGGAACCAAAATCTCTAATTACCCTTGCAAGAGCCTTTAACTTGGTAGAGCTAAGGAGATGGAAGTCCTTATTCTACTATGGGACATAAGGGGCATCTGCTGCACAACCCTTAATGAACACTGTCTTATAATGAGTTCAAGGAATTCCAGTTATATCCACTGATATTTTAGCCTAGTGATGTGTATCCAGTGTCTCAGCTTGTGGTAATAAGGCCTCCAGTTCTTGGATTAGTGGGAAGCAAAAGCCTGAAACACCCACTCATTTCAAAGTGCTGATTGAACAGAATTTTAAAGGAACAACATCTTTCTCTAGCCATTTCATCCTCTCAACTGTGATTGGAACAACACCTTGGCACTTGGCTAAGAATGAGGTAAGATGGGTCAGGTTTAGGGTCTTAAAACTTTGATGCTGTTCCTTAAACTCTTCATTATTTAGTACTTTTTCCTAAATCTTTTCCTCATCTCCTACTTTATATACTGTTATCTGGGTGGTACAGCCAAATTCCTGGTGGGTTGTATTCTGGTTCTTTGGAATTGTATTTTTTTATGTCATTTACTTGCCTTTGATGTCAAACTTGTTTAATTTAAATGGATTTTTCTTTCCTGCTTTTCCACAGTATCTAATGAAGATGCAATGACCTTGCCACCATCCCTACATTCATTCTCCCCTGCATTAAACTGGCTATAGATTTGACAGCTTTTTTTACTGCTATTTTGTTTGTTTTTAGAGCATATCTGGAATTCATTCTCGACTCATGCACAGAAAGATTCAATGGCTAATATATGCCATGTCATTTTAATGAATTGTCTTGCTCTATTTTAGGTTAGAGATTAAGACTGGAAATGATGACAGAAAAAAGTCTCTTTGATGATTTTTAATGATTTTGAAGTGTTAAAATAGACCAGTGCAAATCAAACTGCAGATTTTATAAGTCTTAGGTTTTTTTCTGTCTGCCTGATGAACTCGTCCCTCTATTTTATTATTATTATTTTTTTATTTTAAAAACTTCACGTTCTTTTTACTCGCAAGTCCAATTGAATCTTTTTTTTTTTAATTTTTATTTATTTATGATAGTCACAGAGAGAGAGAGAGAGAGAGAGAGAGAGGCAGAGACACAGGCTGAGGGAGAAGCAGGCTCCATGCACCGGGAGCCCGATGTGGGATTTGATCCCGGGTCTCCAGGATCGCGCCCTGGGCCAAAGGCAGGCGCCAAACCGCTGTGCCACCCAGGGATCCCTATTTTATTATTTTTATATGCTACAAAAGTCCCATTTTCCCCAGAGTCATGAAAATTATGTTGGAAAAAACAGCCCAGCAGTATAGTTGTAGTAAGTATCTCATATTATGTAGCATTTTTCATTTTATGTGGGATGAATACTCCGACTTCATTCATTCTGTTACTGATACACTTCTGTATAACTTTGTAATACTTATCGAGGCTACATTTTGATGGAACCCATCTCCTCTTCCTAAGCGCGAGGAGATGAGAGGTGAGGCAAAATAGCCAGAAGTGGCTGGCTAAATAAAAAGCTGTGAGGCAGATTTGAGGGTATAGCTTCAGCCTTTTATTGCTGTGGTTTGAAAATAAAGCTTAATGGGCAGGGGGACCATTAGCTTTTTCTGGGCCGGTGGAAAAAGAATACTTTGGATCTTAACACTACTCTGGTTGTAATGTACTATTAATGCATTAATTAGCACTAGAGAAGTTTCATCTGCCTATCAGTTTATCTGTTTGTAAATTAATGTGTATACGTACCTTTATATACACACGCATACTAATTTACAACCAGATGTGTGTGTATGTGTTAGATGCTTTTCAATGAGGGTCTCATCCTTAGTATCCTGACATCTAAGGATGTGGCCAAGGAGAACAATTTGGGCTGGATTTCACTGCCAGGGTGGTTCTTTTTCCATTGTATTTTTTAGTAAAACAACAGCATAGAAAGTTTGCTTAACCTGTTTGGCTTGTGCAGAAAAGAACAAGAGGGGAAGACAGACCTTCAAACACATTTATACTAAAATTGGGTATCGTAAGGACCCACAGAAGAAGTCATATTCAGGGACTCTGATTTCTAAACTTGCAATCTATTTAAATGCAGGTGCTGATTTATAATGCAAAATATACTGTTCAAGTGCAAACTTAGGAATCAGGTTTCAATATGTGCAATAAAAAGGATAAGTGCAATTTGTAAAATCATCCTTCCCTAATTGCACCAGTTCACACTGGCATTCCTTTAGCACTTTTATGTACAAAGTGGGCCAATTGTTTAAGAATGCTTGTGGGCTGGAGACTCATGCCTGCTTTCTGGATAGTGCTTCCCAGACTTTCTCCTTTAATCCTATCACCATAAAAGTATTCATAAAAGAGCAGAGTAAACCAGGTGCTACATTTCCACCAGAATCAGTATCAGGAGAGAGCAAATAATGTGCATTTTCTCTCGTTTGGGCCCAGCTTGCTCTGTCAACAGCAAAAGGTTTAGCTTTATTGGTGGTAGAAGTGTCTGGTTAAGAATCTGTTTTATTTGTGCTGCTGGAGTGGTGGTGGAGCATGGGACTGATGCCTTTATTACTCCATATGTTGCAATTTTCTATTATCTCAGGTTTCATTTTGTATAATAAATGACTTCTTTTTAAACAGTGTGTCTATTTTATTATATTTCTAGGCTGAGTATGATACACTTGGAGACTTGGAAAAGTATGTCAAACATTTGTTCACTTAAGTATTTACTGTCACTATTCTGGGCACCGGGGATTCAGTAAGACAGGGTCCCCCTCTCTCATGGTGCTTACATTTTAAATGGGTGTTGCTGGTAAGTAAACAATAAATGAACAAGATAATTCAAACTGTGATAGGCACTATGAAAAAACTGAAGTGGCTTGATGGTAGGGAGGGGGAGGGGAAAATCAGGGAAGGCCTCTCTGACAGGAACTGAAACTCAACAGATGACAAAGAACCAGTCATGCAGAGATCATTGGGAAAATTAAACATCTGTGATAAATGGTTTTCATTTTAGCACATTAAACTTTACACAACCAAATAAATATTGTTCCTCCAAAGTAGTCCTCTTATGAACTAAAAGCTGTTCAAGTTAGGCTCCCATTACCAGAAACACTTATTGGAGCTCATTTCTTTTTTTATTTAAAAAAATATTTTGACAGGGCAGCCCGGGTGGCTCAGTGGTTTAGCACCGCCTTCAGTCCAGGGCCTGATCCTGGAGACCTGGGATTGAGTCCCATGTCGGGCTCCCTGCATGGAGCCTGCTTCTCCCTCTGCCTGTATCTCTGCCTCTCTCTGTTTCTCATGAATAAATAAATATTTAAAAAATAAATAAAAATATTTTATTTGACAGAGAAGTACAAGCAGGGGGAGTGGCAGCTAGAGGAAGAGGGAGAGCAGGGATCCAGATACAAGCTCAGTTCCAGGACTCTGAGATCATGACCCCGGCCAGAGGCAGATACTTAACGGACTGAGCCACCTAGGCGCTCCTTGGTGCTCATTTCTAAATGCTCTGAGAATCCTTGGCACATCTTTGAATTTTGTAAGAAGCTAAAAGTCACTTAGAAGCAAGTCTGATGAAGCTAGGCATCACAACTGAAGGATCAAGTCTGTTAATAGGAATGATACCACCAAATATCTTCACAGGATTGGAGAGGATTAAATTTGATGATAAATGCTAAAGTGCTTAAACCTCACCCTACCCAATGAGATCATTACAAAGGAGAACAAAGGATATATAAGTAGTAATAACTTTATTTTTTTTAAAGATTTTATTGGGGATCCCTGGGTGGCTCAGCGGTTTGGTGCTTGGCTTCGGCCCAGGGCGCAGTCCTGGAGTCCCCGGATTGAGTCCCACGTCCCGCATCGGGCTCCGGGATGGAGACTGCTTCTCCCTCTTCCTGTGTCTCTGCCTCTCTATGTCTATCATGAATAAATAAATAAATCTTAAAAAAATAAAGATTTTTATTTTTATTTATTTGAGAGCAAGAGAGATTCACAGAAGAGAAAGCAGACCCTCCCACTCCCACCCCACCTAGTGAGCAGAGCGCACTAAACAGGGCTCAATCCCAGGACCCTGAGATCTGGACAGCATCTGAAGGCCTGACTGACTGAGCCACTCGGTCGCCTCTGTATGTTGTTGTTGTTGTTATTTTTATGATAGCTACAGAGAGAGAGAGAGGCAGAGACACAGGCAGAGAGAGAAGCAGGCTCCATGCACCGGGAGCCTGACGTGGGATTCGATCCCGGGTCTCCAGGATCGCGCCCTGGGCCAAAGGCAGGCGCCAAACCGCTGCGCCACCCAGGGATCCCCTTTGTATGTTTTTTTTTTATTTTTTTTATTTACTCATGATAGTCACAGAGAGAGAGAGAGGCAAAGACACAGGCAGAGGGAGAAGCAGGCTCCATGCACCGGGAGCCCGACGTGGGATTCGATCCCGGGTCTCCAAGATCGCGCCCCGGGCCAAAGACAGGCGCCAAACCGCTGCGCCACCCAGGGATCCCTGTATGGTTTTTAAGTAGACTCCACACCCAGCATGGAGCCCAATGCAGGGCTTGAACTCACAGCCCGGAATTCAAGACCTGAATTGAGATCAAGAGTGGGACGCTTAATTGACTGAGCCACCCGCGTGCCCCAGTAGTAGCAACTGTTTATATGAGCCTAATTTTTCTTTACCGCTTTGGGGTGGTCTTAAAAGAGTAAAATCCAACAGTTCTTTTAGAGTAGTTAAAACAGTTAAGAATTAAAAAAAAAAAAAAAAAAAAAAGCATAGTGAGAATCTGTCCCAAACTAACATCTCAAAATCTCATATTCGGGCATCCCCGGGGCTCAGAGGTTTAGAACCGCCTTCCGCCCGGGGCGTGATCCTGGAAACCCGGGATCGAGTCCCACGTCGGGCTCCCTGCATGGAGCCTGCTTCTCCTCTGCTTCTCCTCTGCCTGTGTCTCTGCCTCTGTGTGTGTGTGTGTCTGTCATGAATAAATAAATAAAATCTTAAAACAAAAAATCTCATATTCGCTCCCATCCTCTGCCTATGTCAGCCGTCCAGAGGACGTCATCCTCTGGTTCAGCCAGCTACCACCACCATCAACGGGTGTCCCAGTTATCGGGTCCTTTCCCGGATGTTCCCGGCCTAGCATCGCCCGGAGCCCACAAGAGAGCGGTCCAGGTCAGCGCACGAGCCCCAAAGACTCTCCTCCTAACCTGCACACAGGTCTTGAACAACAGGCGTCCGACCCCAGCCAGTACCCGGCCTAGAAGGCCAAGAAACCAAGCGACCGCCCCTCTTCCTCCAGGCTGCGCGCTTAAACCCGTCGGGTGCCTAGGGGTCACGCAGGGTCACGCAAGGCGACGCAGAGCCTGCCGGGAGCTCGGTGCGCAATGGCGACGCCCAGTCTGCGGGGTCGCCTGCCGCGGCTGGGAAACCCGCGGAAACCTATCCTGAAGCCCAACAAGCCCCTCATCCTAGCTAACCGTGTCGGGGAACGACGGCGGGAGAGGGGCGGTGAGCAATGGGAGCCAGGGAGGCTCCAGAGCGGAAGCGGGACGGATGCACGGGGCGGCTTGTGGGAGAGCCTGAAGGTAAAGGTTTCCTTGTGACTGAGGGTGGGTGCTCTCGTTCTGCTCCTCCAGAGGCGACTTGTATCACAGAGATGTCGGTGATGATGGCGTGTTGGAAGCAGAATGAATTCCGCGACGAAGCGTGCAGAAAAGAGATCCAGGATTTCTTCGATTGTGCTTCAAGGGCTGAGGTGACAGAAGGCTTTTTAGGGTGCCCTCTTTGGAGGAAAATTGGGGAGGGGGACGGATACAAGTAATTGTTCTCCTTGCGGTGACAGAAGGCTTTTTAGGGTGCCCTCTTTGGAGGAAAATTGGGGAGGGGGACGGATACAAGTAATTGTTCTCCTTGCCTCTTGCCAGCTGATAGGAAGTCCTTCTCATTCTAAAAAGGCGAGGAAAATTGTGGGAGCGATTTCACTCACGCCAGAGTGGAAAAGGTTATGGTTTTGAAGGCATTGTCATCTCGAGCGATTTGTTTCATTGCTCGAAGCCTTAGCTATCCCAGATGTAAAATGAGGTTCATATTAACCCCTGCCTTACAGAATTTTGTGAGTTAAATAAATGAATGGGAAAATCGTTTTGTAAAATTTAAAAGTGTTGCTCAAATGGACATTATTGTCTGAAATAGAGTTAAAGATAATGAAGGGCCAGTTGTTTGGATTTAACTTAGAATGAATTGCTAGCTGGCATGGTAGTTTCAGGCCATACAGTCACCTGTAGGTCCCAAGTTCCTTTTGAAAGGGGACTGGGAAGACGACACAGATAATTCCAGGCTGGCTAATGTATTAATGTGCTTTGTGCATTGTAAGAACTGTTGGCTTAAGTCAGGATAAACTGAAGAGCTGTCATTTTTGTTTTCATTCTGTCTTTTCAGGCAGCCCGAAAGGTGAGATCCACCCAGTACATGTTGGGAGAATCTGGGAATTTACCCCCCAAGAAACTGAATACATTGTTACAGAGGTTTCCTAACAAATCTCATATTAGTTGAAAATGGAGAATCATTTTCTATGACTGGACTGTAGCCACTGAGAACTATGCGGAGGTGTTTTAGAGATGTTTGCACTGCCATGCTCTATTTGAAAGGCAAAAGGGGGCAAGACACCTTTTCACCCTTGGGACTCACTGTCAGGATGGAAGTTTTGCTTTATCTTGAAATAAAATTGTCTGAAGAGAACTTGGCCTTTGTTGTAGATTAGGTTCTCCTTCCATACTTGAACTCTGTATCCTCCCCAAGACTTTGGAAGTTCTTTGCTCCCTGATTTGCCCCAGGAGCAGGACAAATTTATTCTTGCTCTGCATTTGAAGGCCTTACACTATTTAGTGCCCTTGCTTTCAGATGCAATAAGGGAGTTGAAGTCTGCCTATGCAGAGGGTTTTTTGGTAAGTATTTAGTGACTGCCTATTTTGTGTATAGCCCCTGGATGCTCCCAGAATCATCAAAAGTTCACAAACTGGTGACCAAAGTTACTGCAGATGTATTTTATTTAGCCAACACAATTAAAAAAAATTTTTTAAATTAGATGACCACCTTCAAAAATAGGAAAATGTTATTAAAAATCCACTTTTTAGCTTTCCATAAAAAAAAAAAAGGATCTGGCAACACCAGTTTCTTCTTCCTGCATGGCAATAATTAAGTGGAGCTGATTATCATTTGTCTCCCTTCCCCAGGTACCTGGCATTGGCCTCTCCCAAATGGTAAAACTGAAACTTGTTTGGCAGTTATCTTTTTTGTATCACCTGTTCACTTCTCTCATTAAGTTACCTCCCTAGTTGCTGAAGGCATTAACTTCTGTGACCCCTTGATATTAGAAACAATTGTGTAGCATTTTAGGTACCTCTGCCCTTTCAGGCATAACTAACCTAACCTTTTCTATATATATTAGAGCATTAAATAGACAAAGGGATCAGTGGGGTTTCTAAAGCTCCTATGGGGTAATTATTAAGATAAAGAAGGGGTCTTACTTCCCTGACCCCCACAGCTACCTCTTCCTATAGTCCTCATATCCCATGGATAAAGCACTGGGCAGTTGCCTGGTTCTGAAAGCAGAGGCTCTTGGCTGTAGGAAGAAGCCCAGTGCCTATGCACTTTGGGATGGACCTGAGTTCTGTGGACATAAATGGTAAAGAAATTTTGTCTTTAACTGAAATTTAGCACTTCAGTTAGGAGTGAGGGAAACATACCACAGTATGTCAGCAATACCTATGTGAAATCATATTTTCATATAGTAGATTGCAGATACCTCAATATCATTTATACCCATCACTAGCTTCAAAATTACTGTATTTGGGTCTTAACGTGTAAATAAAGTATCAGTGTGTTACAAATTTGTTTTATTATTTTGGCAATTGTATTTCAACATAATTGGTTTCCTTTGTAATTTTTAAGTTTTATTTTGTGCATTTATAACAACTGGAGAAGGGGGGGTCTAAAGACTGCCAGGCTGCCAAAGGGTCCGTAGCACAAAAAAAAGGACCCACTGACAAAACCGTACAACCATTTCCTGAAATCAAGTGCATTCTTCTCGTGGTGCTTCCCTGAAGAGACCCTATTAAAAAGTATGATGGAATGCAGGCTTCTGGACTACAACTCCCAGAAGGTTATGCGGCCCCAGGGCCTATCCGGAGTTAAAACCGTAAACTCCACCTAATAGTTTCTGTGTTATCGCTTGACAGCCTACGTTTCCCGGCGTTCATGGCGGCTGTTTATTCCTCGGGGACATTATGGACGCCGAGTTATTGCTGGGATCTGTAGTCATTTCATATTCCTCTGTGTATTGATTTCCTCTTACGGTATCCGAGGGTGGGTTCGAGAAAAAAAGGCAGGAAGTGCAGTAATTAGACAGACAGGTCCTCTACATCTGCCGGTCCCGGGTCCGGTTCCCAAGCGCGCGAGGGCGGAAGTGGTGGTGGCCGGCGCGGCCGGAAGTTCAGATCAGCTGATGGGGGAGGCGGCGCCGCAGCCGCCGAGAGGCCCCGGCTGCCGAGCGCTTCGTCCGGGCCCGGAGTCTCGGATACTGGCCACGATCCCTGTTCGCACCTCGCAGTTGGGCGAGGCCCGATTCCATATCCCTTCCAGGCTTGAGATCCTCGTCCGGCACGGCCGCCCTGAGCGCCCCGGCCACCCCCAGCCCCGGCTCGCCCCTCAGGCCCCGGGCCTCCCCTCAGCCCCCGGCCGGCGGCCCAGGCCCCGGATCCGCGGGGGGGGACCCGGCCCCGGGGGGTGCAGGCCCCATGGAGCTGATGTTCGCGGAATGGGAGGACGGGGAGCGCTTTTCATTCGAAGATTCGGACCGCTTTGAGGAGGATTCGCTCTGTTCCTTCATCTCCGAGGCCGAGAGCCTCTGCCAGAACTGGCGGGGATGGCGCAAACAGTCCGCGGGGCCCAATTCCCCCACTGGCGGCGGTGGCGGCGGTGGCAGCGGCGGTACCAGAATGCGAGGTGAGGGTGAGCGGAGGGGGAAGGGAGCGGGCTGGCTCTGCTCGGGCCTTGCTGGGGAGCTGTCCCTGCTCGGGAGCTGTCCCGGCCGCGAGCTGTCCCAAGCTCGGAACGGACTTCTGGACTCGCTTTTCCAGTCTTCCTGGGCTTGGCTCCTCCACGCCAGCGCGAGCGCGCGCGCGCCTGTGTGCGTGTGTATGGGAGTGAGGGCTGGGAAATCCTCCGGTGGGTAGGATTAACGACAAAGTACATCTTTTGTGGTTCATTTGTCTTAGAGATGGGGTAGGAGAAAAAAAAAAACCCCTGACTTTGGGAATACTTACCGAGTTCAGCCCGTGGCGAGCCAGAAAAATAGAAGAGAAGGCGGGTAGGGGGTGGATCGTGAAGAAGGGACCACTTGAGGTGTGTCGACCCCATTGCAAAGTGCGTTGGGAACTTCCTGTTAAGGGCGATGACAGTCTCTGATCCTGGCTACACCAGGAAGGGGTTCCATCCAGCGGAAAGTGTAGGTGAACTGGCCTGTGAGAGGAGATTCCATAGTTACATAGGTTCAGATCAGAGGCTTGGTTCCCAACCATGTTGAACATCTGTCAGGAGCCCAGGCTGGGACCGCTGGATTAGAGCCTTAGATTTCTATCATCTGGGACCCCGGGGAAGAGTGTAGGTAATTGTTTCTAGAGTTTCCTTATGAAACACTCTTACTGGTTTTTTTTTTTTTTTTTTTTTTTTTTTTTTTTTTTTTTTTTTTTTTTTTTTTTTTTTGCAGTAAGCTTCTTTCATCCTTGGGTCTTTCAGTGAATTAACTGAGCAGTGCTGTGAAGATTTTTCCTTTAATTAAAGGGGATTGAGGGGAGAGTGAGGATAAGTGAAGATCCACAGCCTCAAGACTCACCACATCCTTTCCCTGCCTTCCTCACGGCACAGTTTTTGTCCTGGGCCTCAATGCAAGCTGACTTTTTTCGGCATTTGGGGGTGTGATTCTATTCCAGCCATTCCAAGAGTCCTGTTTTCCAAACTGCCCTGCAGAGATTTTTAGCACTTTTAGCACCACTGGGACAGAGAGAAATGTACACATGTGACTTGTTAGGAGTGGTAGTGTTCAACTTCAGTTGGAGAGGTGGAGTATGTTCTGTGTACACACACCCACATGCCCACAAAGATCATAGGCAGTTTCACTGTGGGTCTTCTATGGTTTCTTTGCTTTTCTCACATTTGCATGTATGGGTAGCCTTGGGGCTTAGAGGGAAGTAACTGAAGTCATGTTGATGAAAATTTTCAGCATATCAGTATTTTCCTGAATAGGTTAAAATCTAGAAAAGCATGTCATTTCCCCAAACCCCCTGCCATCCCAGGCTACCCCCA